ATACCATGGTCGTTGCTGCTTTTTAAAAAGGCCTCTTTCTTAACTTTAACGTGTCCAGTTGGTAAATAAAATGACGACTGTGTCTTTTCAGGTCCTCGCAAGAAATTGTTAGCTTCTTCATTCACACTGTAATCTTGTTGAACTGCAGAAACAGCAATCATTTCTTCGCTGGCTAATAGTTGCTGCTGCTGAAAACTGATATTTTCATTGATACTATGACTCTCTTTCACGGTCGACATGGTGGTTACTTGCTCATTGACCATGGATTGATTTTTCTTCTCCATAACATTAGCAGTCATCATATTGGTATTGGAGATTGGAGGATTACTGTGCGATGTATTGAGAATACTTTCGGTTTCGTTGTCTTTTCTAACCACCATGAGCTCATATCGAGCATTTTCAACGTCATGTAATGCCTTAATTTGATATTCATGGCCTAAACGTAAATGAAGGGCAAAAGATTCCATTTCAAACACGTTCGATCTCATGCTATCCCAATTATGGTTGGCGACCGTGATTTGCTGGGTTTCTTCATTTTGTAACCCTTTACTTGCAACAGGCTGGTATTCATTTTGATTATAATTCTGCGAAGATAATTTTACTAAACTGTTAACACTAGTCTCACTACTAGATTCAGTCTTACTACTCGATTGCATAATGTTGCTTGATTGAGTCACTTTACTGGATCTTTTTATGCTGCTTGTTTTCTTAACTTGGTTGGATTTGGGGGTGGCATTTTCTTCACCGGCCTTTTTCTGCTTCAACGGTCGTTTCTGCTTATTTAAATCCTCTTTCCTTTCCTAGTTTAATAGGTGCCATTATCAAATAACGATTAACTTATACCTTCAAACTTACTTTAACAACGTGATATATATGAGCAACCCATTACTAAGCGACTGATTGAACAAGAGTTTATCATTGCTTAAAGATGATAAAATAGGTTTAAAATTGAAATTGAATCGCTGTCATCCATCAAACCATTCAATGAATTATATGGATAGCTAATGCGTCTTATTTAGCTAAAGTTGATGCTTCACTATAGAAAAAATATCTTTAAAATTCAAATGGATTATCTAATCGTTGTCATCAATTAAGCCATTCCATTCGATATATGGATAGCTAATGCGACCCATGAATCGAAGTTTTATCACTTTCTTACTTCATTATGCAAACAATGTATTTCAAATTAAAAGTGATTGTCTAATCATTATTATCAATCAGAATATTAAATTAAATATATGGTTAGCTAATATGGCTCATTTAGCTAAACTTATTTAATTGTTGTTATCAAATCATTAGATTAACTGGCTATAGCTAATGCGACTTATACAGCTAAGCTTGATCATTTCTAAATGATGCAAAAATAGATTTGAAAGTAAAAGTTATGTTATTATCTCATCGTTGTTATCAATCAAACCATCAGATTAAATATAGAGATAACTAATTGAACTAAACTTTATCATTTCTTAATTATGGATTAAAATCTGAATATTAAAAGCGAATATCGAATCATTTTCATCAATCAATACATGCATAGCTACTGCGGCTCACTTAGCTCAAGTTGATCATTGCTTCATTACGGTATGGAAATTATATTTTAAAATTAAAAGGTATTATAATCGAATAGCTTGATTGATGACAACAGTTCAATAGTCATCGAATCGTTGTCTTGAATCAGGCCATTCGATTAAATGGCATGAATAGCTAAGGAGACTCATAGAGCTAAACTTAATCATTTCCTAATTATAATAAATAAATTTAAAACTAAGAGTTCTAATCTAATCGTTGCCATTAATTAATTAAGCCATTGGATTAAATACATAGACAGCTAACTTGAATGGATCATCATTGAATACCTGTTGTTGATTTGCTCTCTGTTTAATTGCATGTAAAATGGATGGTTCGAGTTGTTTTATTTCTTTTTTAGTTTGTCCATCAACATGGTCGGATAGCTGACCGTTTGTCTTAATTTCTGAGTCTGTATGATTGCCCTAAAAGTAAGATAAAGTAATTCTATATCGATATTTTTACTGCATCAGTAGTTAATGTATGCGTATTTCAGATAATACGTCAATCAATTTCAATCGATTGCAATTTATTTTGCAGAAGACTTTGGTCGAAATAAAATTGAAATTATTCAATGGTAAACAACATACATTCGAGAACCAGTTAAGTCGCTTAGAATGATTTCTTGCTGTTTGTGAAGAACGTGGAATTGATTCTTGATTCACTTCTTTCTCTGTATCTTCTAATCCATTATCGCTGCTTGCTCTAGAGCTACTGTTACTTTGCACTGAGCTACCGCTACTGTGCAGTGACTGAGTTTTCTGAACTTGTGATCGTTTCGCAAGGCTTTTTGAAGCGACAGCTTTATTAGGATCAGGCAATTGGTAGAAATGGCCAGTTTTGCAGCCCTATGCAGATGATAAAAGTCATTTCTTTAAATATTAAGATTAAAAATAATGAAAATACTTTAAAATTGTATTGTCATTTTATAACAGTTGTAGAATTATCGCTTAAAGTATAAATATGAAACCCTTGATCGTTAATTCAAGAATCACGTAAAAGATCGCATTTAACCAGTTATTCATCAAATTATGCTTGACTACTTAATGATAGTAATGATAATACTTGTATTTATGTTAATGTTCAATAGTACGCTAATGTGAGAGAAAATTTTCCATTCTTATACGAATGGAATAATTAGCGCAACTTTACAAGCTAAACTCTCTTACTCTGATATCGAGGCTTCGAAGAAATGCCTCAAATTCGATATCACAGTTTCTTAGCTTTCCCATCCAGACCAGATCGTATTCGTTAGAAAGCTCCTTTTGCATGGAAATTTGCTCCAAGTTATCGAGCCCGGCCGATATGCATCGTGACTAATTAAAAATAGTAGAACATTAACATTCCTTGATAGAGCGTCTACTGAAGAGATTGCTTCAATTTTCATTATATTTATTTTTAGGATTAATTTCGAAGGCAAAAGAAGCAAATAAGTTAGTTAAACTTATGAAAAAATAGAATAATGACTGATAATTTATTGATGATTTACAATTATTAAATATGAAGGAAAATGGTGAGCATTATAACGATATTATTATTCAACATGATGCTGGAATAGCTATTGTGAGCTATTTTGTAATATTACTAGACAAAATATTTTGAGTTCTAACCGAGAGACTATAGAATTAATCTAAGAAATACATAGCTACTAGCTATTTTTCATTTGGTAATCATAATACGCATACAATTGAAGCTGAACTAAATCTAAAGAATCAAATTGCGTATTATGATAAAATGAGGGCATAACGAAGGAATGATAACTAGAAAATCTTGCTGACCTGAACATTGCAAGCCACCATAACACGGATTGAATTATAGAAACCTTCCTCAACAGATGATCCAGTCACAAGAAATCCGTTATTTTGCAATACTACAATCTATTGTAGAGGAAATGGATTGAATTTTGATTTAGGTTGGTAAGCAGGACGAGTAAAAGACAATCGCTAACTACATATACGCATATAAATAAATAATATACTTTATGTGTGCATGCTATTAATTTTAAGTATGCAATAAATGTTTGCGAGACCATAGACAACGTAGCCGTTTCTATTACTAGTTATTATTTACACGTATACTTATAATAGCACAATATTATAGCATACTCGTGATGGTGATTGAGAGAATTCTCTGATAAATCTTTCTTTATCGTCCAAATTCGGCTTCATTGGATTATATTGAAATATATACTGTGGATAGATCTAAATAGGTAGAATCAAAAGTATTATTATGCTGACAGAGGATAATATCATAAAATCAACAGCTACCATTTTAAATCAAACCTCAGTTGCTTCTTGACAAAGTGGTAGTAAGCCAATTCTTGTTGCGGATACCTGTAGGTGCAGGAGACGATGATACAAATGAATAAGTGATGGAGAAAATTAACTGCGATCAAATTCTTTCATTTCAAGACGCTAATTTATTTAATAGGGCAAGTATGCTGAAGCATGATTACTATCCAAATAGATAGATTATAATCAATAACTGGACAACTTTAATTCTATTAAGCAATTTTTATTATTTCATACAAGCGAAAAAAGCAAAATCCTTTTTCTTATTAAAGAAGGCGTTACCATTTTTTAACTAATTACGAGTTACTAATTGACTGAAAGGAGGTTAATCTGCTTGGGAAAAATGCTTATCATCTGTTTGGAGAAGAATATGTAGGTAAAACTTACGGCAAGCGTATGTGGGGTTCTTAAATGGATTACACATCGTGTGCCGGGTTTGGCCGAATAAACGTATTGATGAATGCTATATTGACTTTGATCGATCGTGAAGTTATGATCAAGTTGACTTGAATCTAGTAATTGTCCGTCATCGTCAATTTTTATTAGCTTTCTAGCCGATATTTCTTGATAAGATAGCCCAAAAGGATTAGCCAAATACTTGTTGTCATCGAGGTTAATACGAGCCTAATAAGCACACATAGGAGAAAAAGTGAATAGATCCATTATCATGTCTAACTTAATCTGATGAAAAAGAAGATGAAATGAAACAATTGGCTAACTATAATTCTATTTGTATGTATCATATCTTCTACTTTGACTATTGGATATCAGTTTACACTAAAGTATATTCTCTATTAGTCACAGACTAGGGAATGGCAACATGAAAGCATGAGTATCACACACGAGTAGGATTCAAAATTAAAATTGAACTGATTAATTAGTACGATAAGACTATCCTAGTCATTAAAAATGATATTTTATTACCAAGATCAATGATCATTATTTTTCATCTATTTCTGACATGATGTAAAATAACTTGATCAGCGTGGAAATACTTTACCGTAAGAAGTGTTCCTTGCGATTGTTTCCACCCTAAGACGTCTATTAGGCGAAAAACAGATGCTAGCTTGCGTCGTAAAATTTTCTCATTTGTCTCCAAGCCTAAGTTATTTCTACCGCTAATATCCGAAATTGGGTAAAAACGATGGAAAGCAATAGTAGATAAATCTAATGTTGTAATTGGATTATCGGATGGTTTAGCTTTAATCGGGAAATTGGTACTACTTTTTGCATGGCTTTGGGTAATAGTTTCTAGCTCTTGGCGAAACAGTTGGCTATCTAAGATGGTAGAGACAGGTTTTCGTTGCTTTAATCCATTAACGTCGAATTTGATATCGTCGATCAATTGAGTTTTATGCGAACGGCGAGTTGTCTTCATCTTAAGCAAATAATGATATAAAGTAATTTACGCACTGTATTAATTATTTGCTCCTAAACTGCATAGCGTGAATATTTGGTCTGTAGAAATTAATCAAATATGCAATGGCTTTTAAAAGTAAAATAGTGCTCGGTGGGATAAATTGATAACAAAAAATATGCACCTAATTGGATTCTAAACCACAGACCCTTCTGTCTCTCTGTCTTTTAATAATTAGATAATCATAGCGTACAAGAATGATTAGTTTAGTCTAGGATGTGGGAGGGGAAAAATAATATACTCAATGGCTCGAAAGCAACGTCGATGCGGGTAGCATAGGTTAAGGTTAAAATTGTATAAGGCATTTCAGAGAATTAATCCATCAACCAATTGAAGATTAACTATAAGAATGACTTGGGCACCCCGCTAGGAGAGATTAATAATGCCAATTACCGTTTTGGATTTATCATTTTATATTACTAGGACAATATGATTGATTATTAAACAATTCTGTTTGTCTGTATTATTATGGTCACGATGTTTGTGACGCTATGTCATCAGAGACGTTAATATAATGTTTTTGTAACATTTTATTCAAAAAGGATGAAAAGTAGGCTTTTCAATATCCACAAAATTAAGCAAAGTGGGATTTGTACTATTGTCATAGGCGTAACTGCATTAATTTATGGATCGTATACTATTCGGATACGAGGAATAAAGATATAAGGGGTCGGAATAAGGTTCAAGTAAGCGTAAAAGATACGCTACAAACGAGTGCAATATTTTTTTCTCTTATAGACAGAATGTAAATTTTCTTTAATCAATCATTGCTTTTAGTTAACTGTGAAATAGACGATATTAATCATACCGTAGAATGAATTAAAATAATGCGGTATTTCCATCAACATCAAATTGATTCATTTCATTGTTTCATCTATAGTTGCAGTGACTCAACTATATAAACTACCAACTTGTTGGAATATGGATATTGACAGATTATACAATTCCATGATTGATCATGTTGTATATATAAGATGATTTTTAAGAATTTACGATGAAGTAGAATAAGATGGATACAATGATTTTCTATACTTTAGAGTCCTAAGTACGGTTTTATTATCTATTTATAATAAGTAATGAAAAAATAGTACAACTACCGTAAAATACTAGTAAAGCTAATTGAAGTCCAAGTCTAATCATTATTACAGTACATCAGTTTAATTTTCTTCCTGGCTTTCGTAGTTAATCAACAATCAAATCATGTTAATGTGATTGTAATTCTATTAACTTAAAATCGTACTATATTCCGAGGAATTTCCACGGATTTCGCTGGTTATAATGAATACAATTAAATCGAGAGATTAATTAAGGCTGCATCGGCACTAGTTTCGGTCACATTCTAGCAAATTAGCAAGTCAATGATACCGAAGGTTAGACTACATAGAAACAATCAAGACATCTCTCCTGGAGATAAAAATCAACTAATCTTATTACACTAAATGAGCGTTAAATATCCGTAAATCAAGCTCCGTTATTATCTATAAAATATCATAATGCATAAGAATCGATTTCATGAAATTTATGTTGAAACTTTGACTAAATCATTACCATTAACAGGATGAAGGACAAAATGAAAGCTATTATTTATGACTGTAGTACTTTATATACTCTATAGTACCATTAATTATTAACTAGTTGCATAGCAACCTGGATTAAACCACTAAAATCATAAAAGGTTATCATTCAGAATTCATTCTTATCTCTAGCTAGTAGGTGTCTTCTGAAAATAGAGATTTCATTGATTATTCAATTGCCAGTTCAAAAAATTTCATGACTTGTTCTATATCGTATATTCCTAAGAATAATTTTGCCCATAAGATTACTCGCGCCCCATCCAGGATTGGGCGTAACATATAAAACCTGACGAGCAAGATATTATGCATGATAATGTGATATGTGAAAGGTGAGCTAACAAACAAACATCAAACAAACATCAAACAAACATCAGACAAACATCAAACAAACATCAATTAAGCAATATGTAACTACAGCCAACAAATAAGGTCTTAAGAGCAATCAGGAAAACGACCAAAACTTACGAAAACTTTAAGTTATTGTATCGATGCTGGCAATGTTGCCTTGTCATTAGTAGAGATATGAGAAGGGCGTAAATTATTTATCGATTATGCTATTAAGTAGATCAACGATACGTATTTGTCTACTAGGTATGGGTGGACACAGTGATTTGAATATAAGAATTTCAACTTCATAAATAATGATAAGGAGATTCTAATTCAAACGGTACGGTCTACAGTGACAGCAATCGTCAGGCAACTCAGTAATCTGATTTATTTAAAGTTATAACTTTGCTAAAGAGCTTTTTAGATTGATCTCCTCGTATGAATTCTATAGTATCTCCCGTGACTTCAGGCAGACCGCCTAATTCGTTCCTTATTTCTATCATTACATCTACTACGTAATTCATTTGCGATCTAGTTAAAGCTCCATTTACAGTAAAGCATATTTAAGCATGATCTAAAATGTGAAAATGTAAGATAGAGTGACTTATGATGTCTCACTTTAAATTCCTTACAGAATCGTTATGGAGTAAATTTAACTTAATAATGGTAATATACTGTAGTGTTTATATAAAGTATGATAGGTACTTTTAGACAGCATAATTTAATAAAATATTTCATCTAATTTATTTCTCTAATAAGTATATAAAATAAATTATCAATCATTAGAGTATTTTACTTTAGTTGAATAGATGTTTGTGATTATAAACTCTATTTTAAATAAAATTAGTTCAAATTTGCGTCGATAGCTCGAAATTAATGTAACATTTTCATGACATGGAGGGCCATTAATAAACATGGCCTAATTTTATCGATCAATAAGTCATGTAATTGTCAATATTTGGAAAATATTTCTATTTCGAATATTTTTTATTGCTGATAATTATATGATAAGGATTACTTAGAATGATCGCCATTGTTAATATAAATTTATCTTAGTCAAGACTAACTTTTTGGAACAGTTGGAAATCGCACACCAACACCTACTATTCCACACTCTAATTTAATATAAAAATAAATATGAAATGAGTCAGTTAACTCTTGGAGTGGTCCAATCTGATTAGTTTCTTAAAATATTTAAATAGAGTATCGTCTCAGGATTTAATAATTATGCTTATGCATTATTAAAGTTTTATCACACATGCTATTCGTTCATGTTAATACTTCGTAGACATAGGTGTCCTATTTGTAAATATATTTGTGGTATATAGTATCAAATCGATATAAACCCAACTTTTAAATTCGTAAATCATCAGACTATATAGGGTCTAAGCTAGAATAGTACAGAATGGCCTAAATATTTTACATTGTTATCAATATAATAGAGTAAAATATCTAGGCTACTACGTTAACAATAAATTTTCGGTGTGTGAAGATCAAAATTGCTTTCCTGGTCTATGATTGTTAAGATATATTACACTGTAACAACGTTATACTCGTGTTCGTATTAAAAACTCACCTAATAGTCTGCCATAAATTTTTAAACAGTTTTTTTCGATCCAATAATAATTGGGACTACACCTGCCTCCATAATACCCTATCGATTCATACAACTTCAAAAGGAGGCTTACAAACAATTGGTACCGGAATATTACAACAATTTAAACTTACTATGAGTAGAAATGTAACATATATACGTGTAATTAAACATTACTAACAGCAATATCGAATCCTTGTGATAAAAGATTATTTTTCTTTAAATAGATGATATTTTCCTGAAATCTTTTAGCATGTTCCGGCTCATTGCTCATAATTCTGAACGACTCATTATAGTGAAATGAAGAGATCAAGAATTAAACTTGAGTAATTATAGAGTTATCCAATATCATGTTGAAAATGATGGCATCACAATCCTACTAATATTAGCATAACTTTATAGTATAGCAGATAAATTTCACTAACTTTCCCAATAGCTGCACAATCGGGTACACTATGAAATGTACTCGTAAATCAATGACGGCTTGTATGACGAAGGTAAGTAATGAAATTTGCAGGTCCACACACATAGCCACCATTACATCCAGAACCTGCTTTTCCGCATGAGCCAGTTATAATATTAGAATAATTTTTAACGCTATGGTATTCGTCTGTACCTCTGGAATAAGGAAGTCATGACAACATCATTAACAATCCACAAACCATAAGGTGTATTTTTTTAGATCATATTCTACGTTGTAATTGTGTTTCGGTATCTTGCTTTAGAACTGTTGGTAGAAGAAAGTGTTTGATAAGAATATGCGTATATGTTATATATGGTAACAATCTATTATGAATATATATATATATATATATATATGTTAGCGTATTGGGTTCAGAATCCTTTCTCTGTGTAGCGGTATATCTCTCTCTCTAGCTTGTACCCGACGGACTTGGAGCAATAAAGTCCTCTTCTCCGAGAAACAGCTCTCTCGTCTCAGTCTATAAGTAGAAAGACATATTATTACACGTTGTAGAATATCAATGTCTGCAGTATTGATTCGTACTACATAGTGTACATTATTGCACTTAGAACTTTTAGTACTATAATATATCTGGAAATACTGTACAGTGTACAGGATTCCCCAGATAAAACCCCCGATAACTAAACGCAAATGTAATATAGCGAAAACAAAATTGGCTTTATGAAAGCTAGTTCTTCATGGAAGAGTTATTCAAGGCAATGCCTTGAATAGTAAATATGTACTGTAACGGGTTGAATTGCTAGTGCTAAATGTACAATTGTTGGAGAGGAGTTGTACGAGAGGCAAATGTCGAAGGGAACTGTCCGGATAGCGTGATTTATGCGGCAAGGCTATAAAGAGACGTGCGGGTCCAAGTCTTCTTTTCGTAGCAGATCCTAAGTTTATGTCGTACGTAGCAAGAGTCTCAATTTTGAATTGATCGGATCATTATATGCCCGTTAATTTATTCGATTTTCGTACATCTTAGTATTAGTCTTTATACGACTTAACATCACTTGTCTACAATAGTGAATATCGACGTCATTAATGCGTATTTAAGTAACAACATGGACATGTAGATCTCCGGGATCTACAAGTCTATGGTAACAAGAAAGACTATAAAATACTTATAAGTAAAGGCTTGTAGGTTTTCTTCTAGTAATATGGAGGCTCATCAATTCCCCGGTCAATCTACTATAAGCGTACACTACCAATGAAATTGTATACCATGCTGCGCCAACCAAGGAAGCAGCATGTTAGTAACTGGATATCCATCGTAGACAATATAGTGTTACCGTTGTAGACATGCGAAACAGTTGGAATGACCGGTAAAACAAGTAGCCTCTAGATTATTCAATTGTGAAGGACCATTTCCTGTCCTCGTCTTTCTTTTTAGTAATCTCTGATGTGCATCTTAACAAGTACAGTACAGCAAAGGAAAAGGGATTTGAACTATCATATTTATGATTATAGGCGTAACTAAACTAGTGCATGAATCGTCTACTAATGACTATGAGGAGTAAAGATGTGAGAGATCGAGATGAAGTTAAAGTAAGCGTAAAAGATACGCTGTAAATAAGTACAATATTTTTCTCTTATTGATAGACGATGAATTGTCTGTAATCAAGCAGTATTTTTAATCAACTGTGAAATAGACGTTGTGATACCGTAGAATGAGCTAAAATAATGCGACATTTTTCATCACCATTAAATTGATTCATTATTTCAGTTGCAGCGACTAAACAATATACGTAACCTATCAACTTGTTGAAATATGAATATTGGTAGATTATACAATCGATGATTAGTAATGTTAAATATGTAAGATGATTTTTAAGAATTTGCGATAAAGTAAAATAGAAAGGGTAAAATCATTTTCCATACATACGAGTCCTAAGTAAGTTTTTATCATCTATTTATAGATAATTAGTAGTGAAAAATAGCGCAACTACTATAAAATACTAGTAAAGCTAATTGAATTCTTAAGTCTAACCATCGTTGCGCACATCAGTTTTAGCGTATGATTATCAGTGGAAATTATTTAACTTTTCGTCACTTTGGTAGTTAATCAACAAATAGAATGAATACAATCCAGGCAAGAAAGTGATGCTGCATGAGTATTAGTTTGGGTCACATTCTAGCAAATTAGGAAGTGACCGATACCGAAGGCTAGACTACATAGAATAGTCAAGACATCTCTCCTCGAGAAAAAGATGAACTCATCTTATTGCACAAAATGAGTGTTTAATATCCGTAAATCAGGCTCCATTAGAATTATCTATAAAATATCATAATACTTCGTAATCGATTTCATAAATTTATATTGAAACTTTGACTAAATCATTGCCATCAATAGGACAAAATGGAAGCTATTATTAACGACTATACTACTTGTTATACTCTATGATTAAACCACTAACGTTACAAAAGTTTAGTATTTAGAATAAAAAGTTTTAGTTCTATCTCTAGCTAGTAAATGTCCTTATATTATGAAAATAGAAATTGAATTAATCAATCAATTACCAATTCAAAAAGAGAAAGTTTGGTTACTTGTTCTATTGCATCTACTGTACAGTATCATTTGATAATATAATAAAAACAGCAACAATCGTCAATATTGTAAGATATAGCTACTGGAGGATATTACTTCCACGATAGAGTGCATAAAAACCTGACGAACAAGATATTATGCATGATATGAGAAAGGCGAGCTAATAGCTACAATTAACATTGCAGCTGAATTGGTTATGCCATCAAAAGTTAATTTACTACCCTATGGGTAGAAGATGGTTCGGTGAACATCATTATATTACTATAGAAAAGTCAGTCAATCATTGATTGGTTTTAATGACCATCATCGAATAGGAATAAGGTTAATAAAGCGGTTGATAGACCACACGCAAATTGTATTTTGCGTTCATTGGATTAGATAAGGTTACAATTCGTCGCGATCAAGGTGGTTCATAACGACATTGTATTCCGCTTGGCAGAAACTATATCCGTTAATGGGTTGCGCTCGTAGTCCTCGTCGAATTAGTTGATAGCAACGGTGATGATCAATGCGTGGTAGTGCTGCATCGACGTTGGTTACTTTAGCGGAGCTCCATAAGCGTTCAGAGACAGCACTAGCGCGAGGCCAGAAACGCTCCATTAAATTGGTTGAATCGACGTATTCTCCCCATATGCAAGCTTCGCCGCCAATAACCAAATTTTTTTGTTGTTGTGTACCTTTAAAATCTTGAGGATCGCAACGATAAAATCGTTCCCAATCACGACCATAACCGATATAATTCAGATACCAACAAGAAGAGAGAATAGTTTGTAAATTCATCTTGGTTACTTTGGCTAATTCTGCTTTATAGCTAGGACTTGTTTTCCATACTTGTACAACGGTGTTGGGATCGACTTTGACGTTGTTGTCGACCACATCTTGCCATATAATATAGCGTAAGCCAATTTTTTCCATAATAGTTACTAAATTGTGCTCATAATATTGCTCCAATAATTCATAATGATCACCGAAACCATGTTGTGTCATAAAATTTTGAATATCAGGATTACTTTGCCAACAGCTGAAATTGACTTCATCGCCGCCTAAATGAACGTATTGATCAGGAAAGCGTTTCTTAATTTCACGAAAAAAGTCCTCTAGTATGGTATAGGTTGAATTCAAGATTGGATTGATTGGGCCAAATTGTCCATTGGGGACACCATTTTTACTATAACAAGGGGTAAGAAAGTTGGGAATACTACGCCATGACGATGAATGGCCGGGAGTATCGAATTCGACGATAACCCGTATACCGCGATCTCGTGCATATTCAATGACCATTTGGACATCGTCAGGTGTGTAAACATGGCGTGGTGTATAAGAGCCATGTTGGCTTAATTGTGGATAAGTTAATGAGACAAATGGAAATGACTGATCATCGACAATATGCCAATGAAAGACGTTGAATTTATTATAGGACATGGCATCTAAATTTTGTAGAATAACATCCAAAGTAAGGTAGTGTCGAGCAGAGTCGAGCATGACACCGCGATATTTAAATCGTGGATAATCGACAATCTTGGTCTCCTGGATGAAAAATCCATCATAGGTTGCATCAATTAATTGGCTAAAGCTTTCTAAGCCACGTAGCGCTCCCCAAGTTTGTTTCGCGTGGAGAAAGGCAACCGGTTGAGGATGAGCGTGAATGGATAGCGAATAGCTTTCATCGGAATTTAAAGTCAAGTTGGCACTTACATCATCAATTTGAACGAATAATTTGGTCAAATTGCCCACAGCTTTGATGGCATCTTGGTTGGGATTGACCGCCGCGCCTGGTTCATGAGGAGGTAAAGGTCCTAAAAAGATCAACTTTCGATAGCGCTGAAACGCTTGATTGAGAATGTCGGTGGGCACATCGGTTTCGAATTGAAACTCTTGCGTTATTTTCAACATGGACTCGGATGTCGACATGATTTGAGGCATGGGCCAAACGCTACCAGCATCACACCACCGTTGGCATAGCAGCGTTATCAAGATGATGATTTGGATGGAAGCCATTTTAAAGGGTTTTAAATACTTTTACTTTTAATCAATCGCTTGGATTGGTGTACAAACTGGCTATCAGGGAGGGCGTCGTTGATGAATAGATAATCCACGTTCTTGAAGAATCAATGGAGGTGTGTGTGTGTGTGTGTACTTCCTTCTTGACAGTCAGTATCAATCAGTCGATGATTACTTTTCCACTCCAGTAATCCTATATTGAGTATCCATAAGTCGAAAATGAGATTTAAAGAAGAATTTTGCAAGTGGAAATCGATCTGATGATTAGATTGCGATTTTCCAAGATTGTGTTATTGTAACGTGATGACTGCGAGCGTTGGTGAGGGATGACGTTTCATAAACGTTGAAGTGGATTTAGCGTCAGTTGTCGTTGTCGTTGTCACGGTATGTTGGTGTCAGTCGTTTGTCATCGTCGTCGTGGGTGACAGTCAATCCACACAGATCGTGCCCATTGCTCAACCATCGATGGATGAAGTCACATGATGTCCGTGTGGTCATGCTACAGTACAGTTCTACCCACTCGTGTCCACTTCTGCTGAGAAAATGACACTACCCACAGTACCCAGTGTTGTGATCGATGACGTCAACGATGTGTTGTGACCGTGGAGTTGTTTTTCTCAAGTCTAGTTGCTGCTGTTTCGATACCTACCCACAGACACTTTGATCAAGTCCGGTCCGGTACGGTACCAGCGATCGTGTAGCAGCGACGTCAACCCTATCGTCATTCCTGTGCTGTACTGTATACTGTACATCATAAAGGGATTGAACCGAACCGAACCGAACCTTAGCTTTACTGTACCCATATTACAGTGTACAGTACTGTACACTGTACACTATATGTACTGTACTGTACTGTACTGTACATCGTTTCCTCAATTCATCAAACCATTCTGAACAACGAAAGGATTCATCTTAGCCATCACTCAAGTCGATTAAACTTCCTTTACCAGCTAAAATACTGCAAGAGTTCTTTGTAGACGACGAAGTTAGTCCATTGCGATGAGAATGGAATCCAAATGGAGATGGAAAATTCTACTCGTGGTTAGCGTAGTGGCATTCTATTGCAGTTATGCTGTTGAAGGCTATGTTGCTGTATGGCCTATGCCGCAAACGATGTCGACAACAAGCTCTTATTTACGAATTCGTCCTCAACAGTTTCAATTTGAGAGCGATAGTCAATCCAGTCTACTCCGTCGAGCTTTCCAAAGGTACATGAAAATTGCTTTCTTACAACCGTTGCCTCCAAATGAGCCTGCTGCTGCTGTAGACCCTAGTGCACCAAAGCCTCATGTCATCGGTAATTTAACATCATTATTCTTTCAAATCGATAATCCCAATACGGATCTGCGCTTAGGAATGGACGAAAGTTATTCACTCTCGATACGTGCCACTCCTCAACCGGTTGCATTTGTACATACCAAAGAGATATGGGGTGCTTTACGCGCTCTCGAAACTTTCAGCCAACTGATTGATGCTCGAGCGGATGGCTTTTTCATTAGTGAAGCCAAAATCATCGATTTCCCTCGCTTTAGTCATCGTGGGATATTGGTTGATACTGCAAGACATTACTTAACCATGGATACTTTATTACAACATTTAGATGCAATGGCTTACAACAAATTTAACGTTCTCCATTGGCATATTGTCGATGATCAGTCCTTTCCCTTTGTTTCCTTAACTTTTCCCAACATGAGTTTGTTCGGCGCTTATACACAGCGTCATATTTATACCCCGGAGGATGTCAGTAAAGTTATTGAGTACGCTCGCGATCGCGGCATCCGTGTTATACCCGAATTTGATACACCTGGCCATGCATCATCTTGGAAAAGTATTCCCAATCTATTAACGCCTTGTTATGGCCCCAATAACATACCCAATGGAAATTTTGGACCCATTAATCCTATTGTTGATTCCAATTACGAATTTCTAGCCGTTTTTTTCTCCGAGATTAAGAAAAGATTCCCTGATGCTTATGTCCATTTAGGTGGTGACGAAGTCAGTTTCAGTTGTTGGGCTAGCAATCCAGATATTCAAGATTTTATGGTTCAAAAGGGCTTTGGTAAAAATTTTGCTCTACTGGAACAATACTACGAAACTCGTTTATTACAACTAGTTGAAAAGGTTGGCTTGCGCTATATTATATGGCAAGATGTCATTGATAATAAAGTCAAGGTCAATCCAAATACTGTGGTACAAGTTTGGAGATCATCGCCTAGTTATAAGAGTGAACTGAAACGTGTAACCTCGCTCAACTTGAAAACAATCTTGTCGTCTTGTTGGTATCTTGATTTAATTGGCTATGGTCGCGATTGGGAAGGCTATTATCGTTGCGATCCACAAAATTTCAAAGGTACCACGGCTGAGAAGAATTTAGTTTTTGGCGGTGAAGCTTGTCTATGGGGAGAGTACGTCGATTCCACCAACTTTCTGGAAAGGATGTGGCCGCGTGCTAGCGCTATTGGCGAAAGATTATGGAGCTCTGCCAAAGTCAACAATGTCGATGCCGCTTTACCTCGTATCGACTATCATCGCTGTCAACACCATATTCGTCGCGGTATACGTGCTCAACCTGTTAACGGCTACAGTTTTTGTCAAGCGGAATATAATACCGTGATGAGATATATGAAGAAGGATGAGCTATGATTTCATCTACAACAACCAAGACACGACCCTTGCCAAGTAGAAATGGCTTAAAACGAAATAGCCTATCCATCAAAGTGTAATTCGAAATGATGATACGGTATAGTCAAGCGAGACGCTTTCCTGCTACCATGGCTAAATTCAGTAGGAAAATTGCCTTTATGATTATCATTTCTAGCAGAATAGAAACTCGATTCGTATGACTCTATTGGATGGTAGTGTCCACAACAGTGAATCAATTTAGCTTTTGTATAGTCCAAAATTTGACTTCATATTCTAATTTTTATATACTGTATACATATAAACATCAATAGATTGATATCTCTATTTGTCTATTACCTGGATAATTTTCAATGCTGCACTGCTAATAGATCGATTTGAATCTACTGCATAAGGTGACACAGAAAATGGACAGTTGATTTTGAATGTATGAAATAAAGCAATCAAATGAGCAACCTAGTTGCTGCTGGTACTTGATACTCGTGTATGCCTGTTGGAAGAAATGATGCCGTTGTTTACAAGTTGCAATCATTGAATGGCATGACTAGGATACTCGATCATCCTGAATTATATAGTCATTGCAATACAGAATTGAGGCTGCTTTCTGGCATTTCAATGGTAGCATGTCGGCAAAGTGATTGTCCATTTAGGTGATATTGAGTTTTAATTGATAGTCATGCGCTTGGAGAACATGTTGCTTTTCTATATACGTACTGCATATACTCTAAACTACTGCTACTGCATGGAAGGATTGTAAAATGACTTCACCAATGGAGTATAAAAACACACACTGTAGTAGAGTAGAATACTAGATTGTGAAGATCGATACCTTTGAACTTGATATACAGTACTATTGATGAGCATGTCATGAATATTCTGACTCGTACAGTAAGTTGCAGTTCCTTCATGCTATTACAGTGCTATACTTGTAAAATACATAGCAACTGTCGTTTGTCGAATTGGCTACAACAGTGGCGATGACTTTAATCGATATACTCTACTGTAGAAAAGAGGCTGATTTTGAATGGTGTTGATTTCGTACTATTCAGTTGATGAGATGGTAAAATGTTGAAAAAGAATCCCAGAGATAAACAAGATAGACTCAGGACTCTCCATACTCGTACATAGAATACTGCAATTGGTGCTAGGAGTGCTGCTAGGTTGGAAAGATGAAAAGTACATGGCCCACTAAGTAGAATGCAATCCGTTGTGTTCTATTGATTAGAATGGATTTGATCCGAGTATAATACATTACTGCACTCCATGGGCTTACTTTTCCTGTTGTCAATCTTCCAACACACTGCAGCAGAGAAAGGGATTTTGACAAAATGGACAGTCCAACCCCATTTTAGCTTACAGTACAGTAGTATCCTTACAGTATAGTCTAGCTACGGCTACTGATGGGCTCCTCAATGGCATTTTAGGAGTGGATAATTGACTGCAGTTTGTAAATGGATTTATTTGCAGCTTTTGGAAACAGCGCTGAGGGCAGTGCATTTCCCTCAAACCAAGCCTTGAAGTAATGGACAGACGGATGATAGGCGACGGACGTGTGGCTGACACTGACGTCAAGCGGAAAGTCGGCGATCCGTTCCGCGACCTGCTGTGGTTGACTGTTGAACAGTGTCGAGTGTACTTTCGAATGATTTTTCTTTTCCATATTGAATCTATTGACTTTATGTACTGAATGGTGCTATAGGTCACTTCATGACTGGAAAGAGCGTTTTCTTTTACTGCGCATGTTACAGTCGTGTGCAGTAATCTACAGTACTAATTTACACTTTTACAGTACAAAAGGTTTTCTTTCACAGTACACGGTACTGTACTGTGGTCGTTGCTTGAGAGTTGAGACAACGGAAAACTCGATGATACAAAGCCCTCGGGCAAGGCACTCCCAAACTGTACTCTTAAGGGTCTCTATTATACACGTACAGTACTGTATATTCAATATAGAAAGCGCTCCAGCCATCAGCTCATTTACTGCGCATGTTCCATTAGTCTCATCTGAATCATACTGTACTGTACTATGCTGTAGACTACAGTACATGTAGTACAGTACTAACGGTTTTCTTTCACAGAACTGCACTGTGGACTGTAGTTGGAGTTTTACGGTTCGGTCCGGTACCGTCGACAGTATCAGTCAGTACAGACTGTACTGTACAGTACACCCTTTACAAACCCAATTGTCAGTACAGTACTACAGTACTGTAGTGCACGACCATTTACTGCTCATTTACTGCGCATGTTCCATTCGTCTCATCTGAGTCATACTGTGCTGTAGACTACTGTACAGTGTACAGTACTGTAGTACGGTACTAAAGGTTTTCTTTCACAGTACCGCACTGTAGACTGCAGTTGGAGTTTTACGGTCCGTTCCGGTCCAGGCTACAGTATGCGTAAATACAGTACGACAGTACGATCAACCGGTCGCACTGTACACTGTACACTGTACTGTCGTCGTGGGTTGTCGATGACACAAAGCCCTCGACAGCCGGTCAATAGACTCAATATACAAAGCGACGACGGTCGGACTCGCTCCAGCCATCAGCTCATTTACTGCGCATGTTCCACTCGTGTCATCGGAGTCATCTGAGTCATACTGTACTGTGCTGTCGACTACAGTGTACAGTATACAGTACTAAACATTTTCTTTCACAGTACTGCACTGTAGACTGCCGTTGGAGTTTTCCGGTCCAAGCTACAGTATGCCTGAGTACAGTACGACCAACCGGCCGTACTGTACACTGTACACTGTACTGTCGTCGTCTTGTCGATGACACAAAGCCCCTGGACAGCCAGTCAACAGACTCAATATAGAAAGCGACGACAAATATCAGCCATCAGCAATTTTTTTCCTCGATTAATCCCTTCCAATCGATTCAAAATGGTGTTAGAATCGACTATGATTTGGTAAGTCTAGCGGATAACCAGCGTCTGTTGATAGTGTTGTGATAGTTGACGATGGAATGCGATGGTCATGCAGTGGTACACGATCATGACCAGTGAGAAAAATAGACTAATGCTTTTCATTTCTTTTTGCCATACAGCGTTGATGATAGCGAGTGGATGCGAAATGGCGATTTTTTACCCACTCGAATTCAGGCCCAACAAGATGCTGTCAATCTTCTTTGTCAAGCTAAAACACGCCAAAATGCAGAAAATAATGTGGGCTTACTCACGTTAGCCAGGTATGTCAATTGTCAGGCAAAGGATAGCTTTGCAACGCCTGCATCCATTCCATACAGTCTGTACTGGACTGGACAGTTTGTAGCACAAGTCAAACTGACCACTTGTCGTCGACATGATCCATGGCAGACATTGCATCATTCAACATTAAGTCTTACTATTGAGTACAATCTACTACAACCGTACAGACTGGATTTCTATCTGTGAATTGATTTTGCTTACAACTGATTGAATGATGATCAAGGACATCAAAGTAGAGAGTGAAGAAAGTCACTTTACCATCACGCTCAACGGTTGAATTTCAATGATAAAAGCAATAGAAAATATCCAATTTTCCACTTCATCTTCAGCTATTCCATATCACAATTGAGCGACAATCAAAATGGATTCATCAAAGTTATTTCATTAGAAGCTGCGTCATCTTTACCAATGGCAATAATACTCAACTTGGATGGACACTTTGACTTGTTGGTCATATCAAAGAGTCTGAAAATAGATACAATAGTAACAGCTTGAACCCAGGACCAGTCTACTGGCCATTCCATCCACTCGATGGGCTGGGAATAACTTTTCTATTCCTTCTGCTACGTCATGATCCATTTATATGGAAGTAAAAGTACAAGTGATGCAAAATCAGATAGTAAACTAATTAAGATACTGTACTGTAAGAAATGCGGCCTAAGTTGTTTTAGTCTTCCTACGAGGCCTCAACCCAGTCGTATGGAAGCACAAGTGACGCAAACGCATTTAGTAAACTACCTACATTACATACTGTACTGTGCTGTAAGAAATTCGCCTGAAGTTTTCCTTTCCTTCTGCTACGCCATAATCCATTTTTATGGAAATAGAAGTACAAGTGACACAAAATCAGATAGTATACTCAATAGCAACTGTGCTGGAAGAATTGGACTAAGGCTATCATTGGTTGTATTAGGATGGAGTTTAGATCAGTTAGATGGACGCATCTTGCCTTATTTCTACTATAAAGGAGTTCAAAAATTGCTCATGGGTATAGGCTGAACTAAACTAGTTTACTTGCTATAATCACTAGAGTAATGATGATTCTGCTAGTTGGATGGGTTCCATACCAGTGTTCCATTACTGTTACTACTCCATGGCCCAATCGTATGGAAATAATAGAATTGTAGACTGGGCATGATAAGGCAGAGAAATACAATCTTACACCCATTGACTTCCATAATTAGATGGATAGTTTAGCATAAACGGAGGATAACACCTGGATTGATCCAAGCTCAATTTTGAGATCAATACTGTCACTCATCTCAATAGGTGTATCACTGTATTAGCAGTATCATATCGTAGACTACTAAAAATAAATGCACCATGATTTATAGCAGGATGATTGTATCTGCAGGTTTAAAAAGATTTGAAAGGGTTAATAAAACTACATTCGCCTCAATTTTACTGGATAATAATCGATAAAAATGCAATCTCTAGAACTCTGATACGTAGGCCATTCGATAAAGGCAGAATGATTGTAATCTTTTCAATAATTCATCTCTTATGTTGATACATCTTTAATCTGCTTGACATTTACAGCTTAAGAGTATTAACAACGTTGACCACTGATGTTGGCAAAATTCTCAAGAACCTTCATGCTGTCTCACCAAAAGGAAAAATTGATATGGCCATTGGTGCAAGTACTGCTATTGTAAGTCAATTTTTTTCTACATATCTACATTACAATAGCGTTGTGATGAGATTCTCAAGTTAAACGTGAAACACACACTTAAGAGATAGTAGAACTGTAGTATAAGTAGCATTATCTTCAAGATTGTTGTATGTAATTTTGGCATTATCAAAAGCAATTACTCTATCTACGGTAATCCATAGCACGGTACTGATATGGTAGTATTGCTCGCTCCATGTAATATTCATAATTTCCATACTTTTTTAACATATTATTAATAATTTCTTAATAGTTGGCCTTAAAGCATCGAATGAGCAAAAATCATAAAATGAGACTCATAATATTTATTGGTAGCCCTATTGAAACAGAAGAAAAAGATGTAATTTCAATCAATTTATCATAAAATTATTGGCTTTCCATTTAATTTTATTTTATACGATAAAAGTATACATTTTAAATGAAATTCGTTCACATCTTTAGTTAACGAAACTTGCCAAGAAATTAAAAAAGAATAAAGTCAGCGTCGATGTCGTTAACTTTGGAGAAGACGTATGATAATTATCAGCTACTATCTTGATTGAACATGATTAACTACAGTTATTTTTGAACCTGTAACCATTGTTTTTTAGACTTCTAATACAGAAAAACTAACAGCTTTTATCAATACTGTAAATGATAAACAAGGTTCAAGGTAAAAAATGAAGAAAGTTTATCTATATCGCACAGTGTTGATCATTTTCGTAGAAGTAGAATTGTTTATCAGTCAACAAACTCAACTTGCTATCCTTAAACCATCATAGTTTATATAGACAGTATTGCTTTCAATTGAAAAGTCTATTCGTTGTTTAATCCAATTATTAAATAATCATGCGCTAATCTAGACTAAATAGCTGCTACATGATTTTTTGATATATAGTCATTTAGTTACTGTACCACCTGGACCACTACTTTCGGATGCGTTAATGTCCTCTCCTATTATGGCGAATGAAGACGGCTCAATGCCAAATACCGTTAGCGGTTTCGGCGGCAATGTTGATTTTGTAGATGCTGATGTTGATCCAGAATTAGCTATGGTACAAATGAGATAGATAGTTTGTATCATCCAATAGCTGAACACCGTAAATGCCATTGATAATTTTTATAAATTATTGTTTCATCAGGCTCTTCGCGTTTCTCTTGAAGAATCGCGGCAAAGACAAGAAGAAGAAAGTAAGAAAGCAAATTCTGTTGCGGCTCAGGATGGCAGTGCATTTACACCCAATCCAAGTCAGTTACAGTGTAAATTATATTCGTTGCTGTTAATGTACATTGTTTCATAGTTACCAGACTAATTAGTTTACTATTGGTTTATAGGTTCTATTGAAGAATCATTACTTGAACAAGCATTGGCCATTTCTCTAGATTCTAGAATGGAGACAACTACTCCAAATACGGATAGGCCAGATACAACGCCGAGGGTAAGATAGTCAAAAATTGATCCGTTACTGTCATTATCCAATTCTATAGGTTAGAATCAGCTAAAAAGGATGTCCAGTGTTATGAAGAGCAACTGATATTAATCGATGATTTTATTCACTATGGAATTATTGCATTCAGGAGGTCTCAAGTTTAACTGAAGAGGAACAAATGGAACTTGCTATGCAGATGTCATTACAAGGTAGGCCTATAACTGTAATAGATATGTAATGATTGCTTGTTGAATTTTATATTGATTTTGGATAGACTTTAAAGATATACGAGAAGGCAATGATGGAAATAAAGAAATGGACGAGGAAATGGATGCTACGGATTTAATTTCCGATCCATCAGTGTTACAAACGGTATTGGGTAGTTTAGAAGGAATCGATCCGAATAGCGATATGGTAAGAAATTTAATGGGATCTCTACAAGAAGAGGAAGAGGCTATGGATGTAGATGATGGTAAAAAGGAGAATAAAGATGCAAAATGAAGTACCGTCAGCGTACAACGATTAGGGTGCATTTACTGTATATCTCTACCTGTAGTTGCGCTGTCATTGCTTACCTAAGATTGTTAATACAGTGTTTGAAGTGACCGAAATTATTGCCATTGGTTGCGCGAGTGTAGTCAATTCAACTTTTTATACCAACATTAAGATTACCGAGTAACCATCGTTATAGGTTGTATACAAAATATTTAATGACTGTGCTATTCATTGTCATTACATATCTTTATATTGATTTAAGTTCGATATAACGTTATTGGAAGAAATCGTTGATATTCACGTCTGTATTTGATATGGTATTACTGCCATACATAATAAAATCCTAGAATATTGCACTTTCAAGGGTTTCAGACCTTACTAATCGAATTACTAACAACTAACATTTCTGCTCGGATGGATTAACATTTAGACATCAATTCTATCGCTAGTGTATCGTCTCAAACGTTTCACCTACATACAGAGCATAATATCTGCAATAAATGCATTGCCTTAAAATTTCAGGATGAATTACGAATCATTGTCGTTAGTCAAGGCTGAAATAGTTACGTAAAAATAGAATACATACACTACGTGACAATTAGATTCTCAACGGCATGAAAAACGATTGATGCTTTCTGTTTGTGTACATCATTCCGAATTTTAGATGTATGTGTGAAATGCTACGACTAATAAAACGATTTATGTACCAATAGTTATAGACAAACAGTTACGATAATAGTGAAGTCAATTGTATTTTCTACCAATAGCCAGTAGGCGATTTTAAATGATACTGTTCTATATACAAATACAGGTAAATATAACTTTGAAAACATTTTAGTATAGCACCACATTCAATTCAAGTCCTGAAATACATGCACCAATTTCGAAAAAATAAGTGCCATGTCATTGATAAAGATCGTACGGGGTAAAGCCTTTGTACAAAGATAGTGAGTTTTAAAATGGGAGATATTACATGAAAGATTAATTTATGATATAGCTATCAATTTTAATTAAAAATGTCTTGTTATGGTAAATTCCATACTGCATGACTACCTTAAATAACAGGTACTGGTAAATATTAGAAAGATACCAGCAATTATTACATACAAATATAGCACATGTACAATCAGGAACAATGATAAATCAGTAGCAGGTCATTTGCGTCCATATATGAGCGCTTCATACTTTTAACAAATTTTCGTGATGCTTATGATGATATGGTATGCCACCATTAGTTGGACTTGTTAATATCTTGGTCATCGTCGATACACTGGTGGCAAAGCAAAACCATCTCTCCACAGCTATTCTTAGACTGAATTCTACCGTTAGCGTGCGTTTTACAAAATGAATTCGGACAACGGCTACATAACTGATTAGCAGCTTTACCACAAATATCACAATGATGCCACGGGCAATCCCATTTTCCTCGAGGGATACCATCAATTGTTAGACATTCCAAGTGATAGCATTTATAGCAACTTTTACGACTGCACATTATTAGCTGTCCGCCATCACCACACACATAGCATTCATCTTCGTGTTTGATTGCTCTTTTTCGCTTTTTTCGTTTTTTGCGCTTACCTTGACCATTATTATTCTTGTTACTTTTATTATTGCCGCCATCCTTCCCTTTAGTAGTGGTCGTACTTTTAATTTTAGCTCCTAGATACTTTCTGCAGAGTTTCGAGCCGCAATGGCATTCCGCTTGATCGTTTCCAACAGCATGTAGTCGGTAATCAAAAGTCAATTCTTCTCCTTGTTTGATATCGTCAATTGCAAACAAACCTATACAGGTGAGACCATTTACAGTCCATTTGTGGGTTTCACAGTTTGGCTGGCAACTATGGTTCATGAAACGAGCCAAGTTGCCTTTCTGACCTGCATCGATAATGACATCTTTGTCAATATTTAACATATAAAAATTCTTTTCCCCTTTCGATTGTGCCATTTTTATCCTTTGATAGCAAGTTTTCTCATTGAGTAATTCTCCTACGTACTCTACCACCAAAGTACCCGCATAAATATCTTCGGCTGATTTTAAGCCCCAACCACACTGGTTTGATTTAAATATTTCACTTTTTGCGTACTCTAACTTTTGAAAACGCTGGTTTTGGCATTTATCACCAGCCGGACACATACTTGAGTTGCATTCACACATTAACATACGATTTATACAATTAGAACTACTACCACAAGGAGCTTCGTCAGTCGGTTTACAACTACAAGGTGTGTACTCGGTTAAATTTGGCCTTATTAAAGCATCCACCAATTTATTCATCTATGTGATGAAAGAGAGCAATTACTATTCGATTTGCTTATTAAATTTTACAACGCACATTACAACATAAATAGAAATAGAGAATGTAAAGATACCACGGTGAATTTGATAATGGTGATATACTGAAGCAGTTGTTACCTTGATATGCTTGTAACTCGGAGGCTTTTGAGATCTCCTTTCTTGACTTTTTGCTTCCTTTTTTTCTCTGCTTATTTTCCGTTGCGTAAATTTTTCTTCTGCTTCTTTCAATGCTGTGACGTAGATATATATATATATATATATATATGAGGTGATGTTTAACATTCACATAACTTGCAGTAAAGACCGTAGATTGAGTAAAACGCTTCGATAGACTCACCTTTACCAAATGATTTGACAATTCCTTTACGACCTAATTTGCTTGCTCTACCATCAATATCTTCCTCTTCGTAACCAAAAATACGCGATATTGATGTCCAGCTATAATCATGTGATCCCAAAAATTGCACCGAAAATTCTCCCGGACCATGCTTTAGTGCTAAGATATTATCCGGCACATACTTACGATTACAGACTTCAGCTGGCCACCAACTAGCATCAATTTTGAGGTAAAGCATCATTAAAATTTCTTTATTGACATATTTTATTATTACCATTTATCAACCGAGAAATACTGGTCACACTACTTATAACAGCACTTAAATAACGTAAATCTCACCGGTAGGCTCCAATTTTAACCCAAACAATATCTCCAATGACAGGAAATTTGCCATCAATACATCCTCTACAGAACCATTTATCTTCGTTAGGCTTTGGACGACATTTCTCATCCAAGCAATTTTCATGATAAGATGCAGGACATAACTCGCAACAAATTAAATTTCCTCCTTGAGAGCAGGCAAAGCACCAACCGACATTAACATGTTTGACTTTTGCATCTAAATGCTATAAAGGTAATTGAGTGATAGAAAATATTATAAGAATTTCATTACACATAAACATTTGATCAATAGGTAAATTTTTCTACTATAAAGAAAATGGAGCTTTCTTTTCACTGTACCTTGTTGCAAATAATTGCGGATGAATTTAATACCTTACACCCTGCCGGCAAGCAAGCTTCACTGGCATGATATGAGACTGGGCAATAAATACATCGTGCTAATTTCTTCTGGATAACAACATCAAAATTTTCGTCATTTTTCGATATTGCGAATGCAGTACATGTAGTACAGACATGCCGTGGACACCTAATGCATCCTTCTTCACTAACTTGACCACATGTAAACTGCGATATACATGTGTCATGATAACATTTTCCGCACCCGGCTACTTTGCATGGCAGTACAGGCGGCTCGCTACTTCCACACACGAAACATTTCCTAGTACCACTTGTACATTCCTGACACTTGAATCCTTTAACTGGCCATTCAGTTATACCGAGACATTCCAGATGAAACTTTGAAAAACAACCACCCTGACATGTAACTAATTTCTCGCCAATTCCTTCGCACAACATACAAACGCCTTTACTTCCAGGTGATTCACGAGCTCGACTTCTAGGCTTAGAGAGCTTGCGTTTTTCAACTTTATTAGATGTTGCCTTATTTCCTCTTCCTTTCACTTTTTTTGGAGATATCATCCGGGTTCGTTGATTCTTTAAGATTCGTTTGTCATTTACTAGCGACACCATAATGTCTTCTGGAAGGGTCACTTTATTATCACTAATTGTTTTATTCATCAGTTTTTTAGTCATAGGTTTAACAACGATTTTACATTTTCTGGAATTTCTGACAATGTCTATATCAGTAGTGGTCTTTTTTTGGTTTTCCTGATTACGCTTTTTCTTGTTAGGGGTAAGGCCTTCAACTACGTGGCCTTGTAATTTACTCGATAACTTTCTTTTTCGTGGTGATCTTTTAAGGTGACACTCAGACTCTTCTGGATACGGAGAATTATGCACAAGCTCTTGATGTATCTGCTCTTCATTATCATTATTACTACTGCTATCTTGAAATGTGTTGTTTATTACAGTACTGTCTTTTTTATTGTAGCATTTATGATTTTTAATATCGATAGGATCATCGATTTTTGTTCTCTTGGTCCCTCTAAGACCATTGACGGAATTTATCCTTTTGGCTCTCGTTGACGTATTTGAAGTATGATTGGTGTCCTTTGACAGTATATCTTTTGTTGGACTCAGATTAGTCGTTGCTTTGATAATTTGTACCAATCTTTCCTTCCTCGGTAACTGTAATGCTACTTTTGCTTCATCAATTGCTAGAGTTATTAATTCCTCTCCACAGTTTGATAGGGAATTACTATGGTTAACCGGAAATTGAGGGAGCTGATTGTCACTTGTAAACGAGATTAATAGCTTTTCAGGTATCCAACTATAACTAACTTTACTACCGAAGTAGCGAACATGATAAAAAATAATCTTATGGCGGCCACGAATTGAAGTGAATAAGCCAGTTTTCGGTTCATAAACTATCATTGCTGGCCACCAAGGATGGCCGCTAATTTTACTCCATACAATGTCACCAACAATCCTATTTTTAAGCTGCATTGCTTGACATTCGTGATTTTGAGCATCGGATATTGATTGTTTAATAAGGCTTAACTCTAATTGGTTATTTATGGTATTAGGTAATTCTAATATTTTAACATTATGATCATTTTTTATACTAGCATCCATTACGGCAACTTTTGCATCAACAGTAGCTTCCCCATTATTTTGAACATTTATAGCATCAGGCATCTTTGGCATTTCAGTTTCTCTTAAAGCTGATTGGCAAATATCAGGATTGTCCTTATGAATAATTTCTTGCTTGGTTTCTAGTACGACGGATGGCATTTTTATTGGTTATTTCTACAGATTAACAAAGATGTCGGCATTTAGCCCCTCAAAGCATACAGAAACTACACACGCAGTATGATAGTTAATCAAACTAGTTCAAATTCTAATCCTATTCTACTGTATCTATATGTATTATTATGAGTGCCCCAAAATTTGGAACTAAAAGCACAAATTAGAATTGTTATTTGAGCTAAATTTTTGAATATAATGTGTACTGTATTAATAACCATAGGTGCATGCTACACACAATAATTATATATATATATATAATTGGGTCAACTTTTATATAACAGTCTATTTTATTGTACATTCTATAATCTAGTTACTACACATTAGTTGGGTAGACTTTTACAGTATATAACCATCTATTCTAGTGTAAATTGTACTGTATAATCTGGTTAGTACACATGAGTTGGGTAGATTTTCATATGACAGTCTATTCTGTAATCGAGTTACTACACATTGGTTGAGTAGACATTTGTATGACAATTTATTCTAGTGTATATCCTATAATCTGGTTAGTGCACATTAGTTGGGTAGACTTTTATAAACCATTTATTCTAGCATCTCTTGTACTGTATAACTAGGTTACTACACATTAGTTGGGTAGATATTTATATGACAGTCTATTCTAGTGTACAGTTTATTGCATAATCTGGTTACTACACTTTTAGTTGGGTAGCTATTTGAGCGTATATGACAAGCTATTCTTGTGTATATTCTATAATCTAGTAACTATACATTAATTGGGTAGACTGATATATGACAAACTAATTTAGTTACTCCACCTTAGTTGGGTAGACTTTTGTATGACAATCTATTGTATAATCTGGTTACTACACATTAGTTGGGTAGACTTTTATATGACAATCTAATCTAGCGTATATTGCATAATCTAGTACTATACATTAGTTGGGTAGATATTTATAGGACAGTCTATTTTATCTATAATTAGGCTATTACACATTAATCGGATAGACGTTTATATGATAATCTATTCTTGCGTTTACGTATTCTATAATCTAGTTGCTACACATTCGTTGGACAGACTTTTGTATGACAATCTATAGTATTCTTGCGTATCATCGAGTTACTTCATTTTGGACGGTTACTGCTCAATATGATCAACTGAGCCAAATATACAGTATGACTATAGATATTGCAGCATTTGAGTGTCCAATTTCTGTGCGATTATTACTCAAACGCTTATCAAGTACGTCCAACTTTCTACTACAGTAATATGCCCCTTAATTTTGGAATGGGAGGTGAACATTACTAGTAGGAATTGACATTCCATGTCAAGATTGATCCATTTCAGTGGATTGATAGCACGTCTTGGATAGTGTTAGCAAACGATAAACTTTACCGGTGATATCATAACATCCTATGATGATATACAATAGGCTATCCTACAAGAGTTGGATCAATCAGCTATCCATCTTGAGTATTTGTGTACACTTGCATCAGCACGTGCCATCTTCCTTGAGCATGGAGATTGTTAGGAAATGGAGATCATGTTGGTCGATTGATGATCATTGTTCAATGCACAGTATGGAAATGACAGATTTACAAGATCGATATTGCTTTCACCTCTTTACTGCTACTGTCCCATTTCATGCAAGATACTAAAGCTCTAGAGCTGACTCGAATGATTTTACAGTATTTGATGCAAGAGAATAATTCAGCGTAGGGGCACTGCGTGTACGACTTTGGTTGCACATAGATCATAGGAATCATGGTGAACATTGCATTGGGTAATACAAGTTCACTGTTTATTCCTTCAAGTCGACTACATGAAAATGAAAAACAAGGTAAAATGTAGCTTACATCCACTCTTGACACCGATGAAAGTCTTACTGCAATGCTTGATTGAATAATGTCAATTTGATCAATCTTCATCCAGCAATGGCAGGAGACAAGGAAGAAAGAAATGGCAAGAACAGGCAACGTCGATCCCCTTCGTCGATTCCCTTGCATATCAAATCGGTACAAATTAAGAGTGAAATGGAATGACAAGAGTTACATAGTCTAATGATTCTACACCATACCAATTCTCGTATGTCTCTTATATCAACGGAAGAAAGCTATCATCCATCAGCAATTTGGATCAACTTAAGTAAACTATGGCAATTCCGAGGTGGAGAATGACGCTTGGCTAGCTGTTGAATGCAACTCCTTCTCTCACTGCTGCCAACTTGTATCGATTGGAGAACTTTTTTTGCAGATTGATTTCTGACTACAGCGTCTTAATACCAACCATCCATTGAAGTAGACCAGTTCGATTACAAGTTCCAACCGATTGGATAGGCTAAAAAAGAGTAAAATAGACGATAAAAAGGGGTAAAATGCAGCCTAAAAGGAATAATTGAGCAAAGAGTGCCTGGATGGTATCTAGGTTGCGCGATCGAGGTTGAGTCGCGAGCCGTTTCACTTGACCAAGTGATGTGACCTGTACTATGGGTCGTGTCGATCGAGGTGGGTGATGTAGTGGTCTGAAGATGGACTTGGTATACTACTGCTCTAACAGGAGTAGAATACTAGAACAACAGTATGCATTAATAGTACGATATGGCTGATCTATACTAGATCGTCCGATCCCTGCGGGTGAAGTGTCGTACCGTACTGGTCTACACCACCGGATGATGGCCATAACACCGTATAGGAAGTGAAGGATGATGTTGCTTACTAGATCCTACTCAATGATGCATCAATTAGCAATTGTACGCAACATTACGCCTGTCTCAGTAGGTATACTACTCTCCAGAACTATCCAATGCAACACTTTCTCTTCACCCTTGACTACACACTCAGTCACTACCTAGCCCATGACTACCTGGCCAACATCGCCACTGGTGTTACCCACGCACCAGCTTCAAAAACCCGCCAAAAAATGAGGAGGTTCACACACACCAGTGACGTCAGGACGAGCAGGTGAAGTCAGCTGGGGTGCTAAAACTAGCCCAAGTGGCTTGAGAGGGTTAGCTGTATAAACTCTTTGCCATGGAGGGAAATATGGCTGAAATCTCAGTTATTTTACTGTAAACTACTCTAAGATAGGATGATGTCGATCCTTTGCAAATCAAGAAATGAACAATGACCTTGTAGCAGAGTAGATTTTTGAATTGCATTCACAACTGCAGTGCAAGGCAAACTGTTTACTGGTCAAGGGACCCAATCCGTTGGCGACATGCTTATTTTACTGTAAGCTACTCTAAGATAGGATGATGTCGATCCTTTGCAAATCAAGAAATGAACAATGATCTTGTAGCAGAGTAGATTTTTGAATTGCGAGAAATATGGCTGAAACCTCAGTTATTTTACTGTTCACTACTCTAAGATAGGATAATGTCGATCATTTGCACATCAAGAAATGAACAATGATCTTGTAGCAGAGTAGATTTTTGAATTGCATCCACAACTGGAGTGCAAGGCAAACCGTTTACTGGTCAAGGGACCCAATCCGTTGGCGAGATGTTTATTTTACTGTAAGCTGCTCTAAGATAGGATGATGTCGATCCTTTGCAAATCAAGAAATGAACAATGATCTTGTAGCAGAGTAGATTTTTGAATTGCGAGAAATATGGCTGAAACCTCAGTTATTTTACTGTTCACTACTCTAAGATAGGATAATGTCGATCCTTTGCAAATCAAGAAATGAACGATGACCTTGTAGCAGTGTAGATTTTTGAATTGCATCCACAACTGGAGTGCAAGACAAACTGTTTATTGGCCAAGGGCATTCACAACTGGAGTGCAAGGCAAACTGTTTACTGGCCAAGGGACCCAATCCGTTGGCGACATGCTTATTTTACTGTAAGCTGCTCTAAGATAGGATGATGTCGATCCTTTGCAAATCAAGAAATGAACAATGATCTTGTAACAGAGTAGATTTTGGAATTGCATTCACAACTATAGTACAAGGCAAACTATTTACCGGCCAAGGGACCCAATCCGCTGGCGACATGCCTAGTCTGTTTATGCATTAGATCTGTTCCGTGATGCAATGCAACCGATAGACACCGATGTAGATTAAGAATGGGTTGAGTTTGTTCGTTAACTCCTACAGTTGAAACCATAACTAAATCCATGGAGGTAAAAGAAAACCTCCACCACCACTAACTCATTGCTTATATAAAATAAGTCCAACGGATCGTAAGGTAACGATAGCAACGAGTCCAGTACCAGTAATCAGTCAAGCCAAGTACATGTCTCGTGCTTCATAGTATACACACAGCGCTTGAGTTAGGTTCGAGTAGTATACCATACTCATGCCAAGCGACAGGATCAGTGTTCCGTACCGAACCATTCCGTACCGACTCGTTCCGTTGCACTAGCAGCTTCCAGTACGCAAGTCCGTTCGAGCCATCATTAAGTCAAGTCAAATGAATGAAAAATGGCGAAAATCGTCGTCTAGTGGATATTTTTCCATCGTTAGACTAGGTGGAGTAGAGCAGAGAGGATTAATTTTACTTATAAAATCAGCCTATAATCCATATTGTAAAAATTAGACCGTGAAATATCACCAAGCTTTGATATTAACCAGCTTATCTTGAGACCAAATCCCCAACATTTCGATCAAGGCATCTTCGATTCGCCCAAAACCTCGTATGAGAATACTGGCGATCTCATTGGCAACGAAGCCTTAATCAACTCTTCTAATGGTTGTAGCCTATACTGACTTACTACACGAATTTCTTACCTGAAAGGAAAGAGAAACGCCAAATAGAACAGATAATATCATGTCTGTGGCGATGATCAGGTTGCCATGATCAAAATGAAATCTTCATCTTCCATTATGACGATAATAAATAAGAATAACAATAATCGAAAATAAATAATTGTCTGTCAATCTTGCAAGGCCTTGTGCCACTGGCCTACTGTAGATTCTCCATTCTGACGTTAATAGTGTATCGACGATAAATTGTGTATCGCCACTTAATTGATGGATTCACTTTGTTTATGTATATATATAACTCTTTATCCTTGATTGATAGAACTGCTAGCCAGATTTGCAATTCACTAGAAGATATCTTAGCTAAAACCTATGGTCCTGTAGGAATGGACGTCTTAATTGATGTCATGTCAACCAATGTTGTCGCTACCAATCATGGAAGTACCATTATCAATTCATTGCAGATATCACACCCGGTAAGGGCACTATGCTATGCAATGGAATCGTCTTGTACTGTAGATTATTAAACAGCGTATACATTAAAGTGGATACTTGAAGGATATCATACCGCCATACGCGTACATTAATATTACCACGTAATTATTAATGTGCTTCAAATTAATGTGGATACTTAAAGGAGATCATATCGGAATACAGTAATGTTAATTTTTATGTTACCTTATATATAGTTTAAATTAACGCGGATTCTGGAAGGAAATCATATCGGAATATATTGATGTAGTGATCTTTTATTTGTATGTGTTTTAAATTAAGACAGATACTTGAAGGAGATCGTATCGCGGGATACATTATTATGATATGGTTATCTTTTAATTTCCCCTTTTATCATCTTTTATGTATTGTAAATTATAGTAGATACTCGAAGGAGATCATATTGAGATACATAAATATTATTACCCATGTTATTATGTAGTTGTCATTCATGTATTTTAAATGGACGTGGATACTTGACGGGGTTCATATCGGCATGCATTAATATTGTCATGTAGTTATTATTTATGTGTTTTAAATTAACGTGGATATTTACAGCAGATCATATCGGGCATACATTAATAATGTTCTATAATTATCATTTATTTATATATTTTAAGTTAACGCGGATACTTGAAGGACATCGTATCGGGATACAATAATATTTATTATGTTTTCATCTTATATCTCGATGTTATAAATTAATGGGGACACTTAACTATTTTAAATTAATGGGAATACTTGAAGGAGATCATATCGGGGTGTATTAACATTATTATGTAGTTATCTGATGTGTTTTAAATCAACGTAGATATTTGAAAGACACCATATCTGGATATATTAATATTATTATGCAGTTATCTTTTACGTATTTCAAATGAAAACAGATAGTCGTAAGTAATCATATAAGGATATACTAATACGGGAATATTATTATTTTAATCTTTTACCTGTTTAAGTTAACAGGGATGCCAATAGGAAATCATATCGGGATACATTTATAATATTATTATGCTATCTTCTACGCGTTTCAAATTAATTGTGACACTTCAAGGGGGATCACATCAAGATCATTAATATGTATTCTACAGTATAATCTTAACACGAATACTTGAAAGAGATCATGCTGTGGTAAAATAATACGTTACATATCATCTTTGCTTTTAAATTAGCACTAGCACTTCAAGGAGGTCATATCAAGATACCCAAATACATATACGTATTATATTCGTCCAGTATTATCACCCATTTAAAATCAATACTCATCGTGAAACAGTTCTTATCGAGATTTGTTACTATATATAGTCTATGATTATAAATTAATCCGAATACTTCAAAGAGACTATCCTAAGGTATATTAATATCATTTTCGATTCTTTTATCGTTTTATAAATAGGTAGGACAATTAATTACCAACTCGGTTAAGAAATTTTACGATAAAACAGGTAGAAGAGGAAAAATGCCCATTTGTAACTTGTCTAGTTATCCCTGTGCTATTGAGCGTCATGTATTGTTAAACTCAGTATTTTACTTATCTACTATTTTAATAGCAGGGTAAATTAAATTATATTTGTAATTCTTAACCTAAACATTGTCACAGTATACGCAATTGATAGAATAATGTATAAGGAAGATGATAAAAGCATTTTGATAAATGATACATTTATTAGGTGATGGCTCAACCTCATTTGTATTGATAATGGCATCGATGATGAGACAGGTATGCTTGAATTAATGGTGGGAATAAATGCAAAAATTCATAATTTTTACCAAACCAAGTAATCAGATGTTATATATATAATATGCTACGCATGATACGCTAATTATTACTGGTTAAATCTATAAATCAAGGGTATATAGTGCACATTTTCTGCCTATAAATTGTAAAGGTGATATGTATAGTAAGAGAATACTCGATCTATCTACTGCTCCTATTACGTAGATTTTGCGTCATGCGGAAAGTGAAGATACAAATAATAAATGGCGTAGCGATCATAAGGAAACAATTATTAAATGTAAAACTATTTACTACTTATAAACCTTTCGATTACTACATTTCTAATCCCTCGATATATCCAATTTCTAAATGTATAATTATTGTCACATTGAATAAATTCTATTAGTATCTAGAGCTTTTAGGAAAGTCAATATTGATCTTGACCAGTATTTTACTCCCATCTTACACAAAATGGTAAAAACATTAATCGCTTTGCTAAATATCGATTAGAAACGATAAAAATGTAAGTACTGAGTAGCATGATAAAACTTTTTTTTATAAATATCTGATTATGTAGGCGACTTGTCTAACTGACTTCAATAAAAACTCTGTCATTGAGTCCCTTAATGGCATTATTACCACAGGTAAGATATTTGATAGTATTGCATGCTTGGCTTTTTCCGTATAATTATGCTTTAGTAATACGTATATTTTTAGCTTATTTCTTTATACAAATCGAAAGCATTTAAGGTGATTGTAGAGATGCAGAGTAGAATTTTAGTTTTTATCCTATTTATATTGGATTCTATTAAATGCCTCGATGATCATTTTAGTAATTTATAAGTTTGCAATTGCTATGATTTTATCAACTCTTCTAGCTATGAATGGAAAGTTTGGATCCTTAGCTGTAGAAAAACTGACGAAAATTACCGTCGAGTTAATTCTGCGACATGCATGTAATTTATCTACTTGTGAAGCTTTAAATAAGGTCATTATAAATTGGCCATCACCTGTCTTGCATCTTTTGTATACGAAGTTAAAATAGGATTAGAATATGATATCATTAATAATAAGAGCACACTCTAATTCTTAGACAATCAACAAACTTGTTGATGAATTTTATCTTATTGTTACTGAAATTCCTCAAATCCCGTTAAGTGAATCTTGCATATTAAATGGGTAATTTGAATTATTTTAAAGCTGTTATACGGTGTAAAATTACTGTCAGCTAAGATGATACATCCCTCTTTTATAGTATTTTACTTAGGTATAACTCCAAAGGAGTAAACGATAAACTTATTGCTGCTCTGTCAAATCAGAAATATCCTTCACTAATCCGAAAGTTTAGTTAAGAGGCTGAAATTTAAGCATTGGTCAAAAGCGAATTAAAAGCATTGAGATATTTTATCAATGATATTTTAAAATTAATAATTTTAATATCCTTAACTAATTGTTACCTTCAAGTTTACTTGCATAGCATTTAAATTAGACCAAAGTATAAGACAAGGAGAACATACATCTCTTAGGTACTTTCGAGATATTACAGTAAACAAGTATTAACATGGATATTTATAAAAAATATTATATCTTATAATGGATGTTTCTTCCCGTGTTAGCTTCAGTAGATCTTCACAAGTAGATGGTGCTGTTGAATATCAGCAGAGCCGAATTAAGCGGTTTCTTAGCAAACTGCAAGATGAAAATGTCAAGTAAGATTAGAAAATCAACGGAAAAACTAACTTAGGCGGATAGCGATAAGAAACTTTATGTATTATAAATTTTCTTGAATCTGTTTATAATTGTCTCTGATAGTATAAACTTTTACATTAATAGATTAATTATTAGTACAGAGAGTGTAACTGATGTTGCTGTATATCTTTGCAATCGAGCTGGAATTATTATCTTAGCAGTAAGTGAGGCCATTAATATATGTAGTAGTTAATGATTTATTATGTATATGTAGGTATCGCTAAAATTTATCATATATTTCTGGTATAAACTATTTACTATTGCTTTCTGTATTATCAGAATGTAGCTGAGGAAGAAGCCAATCGAATAGGATATTACTGTAACCTTGGCATCATTTATGAAGTCGACATGGTTAGCAAATAAAATATGAAATCTATTTATAATCTACAATTGATTAAATTTGAATGAGTATATTAAAAAATACCTATTTTTCATGCAAGGAGGAAACGCTAATATCGAAATTCACTGGTATTACCTCTTGCCAATTTATTACCAAGAGCACGCAACGGTAATAGTAGTAGTTAAATTTATAATAATAATTTTGACTTGTAGTCAAAATTGAATGATTTAAGTGAAATTAATTAGCGCATATATACTCTTACTTTACTTTCCAGGTATATTCAATTTATTCCACAACTTGCGGAATCAAACAGGTAATGATTACGGAAAAACTGCGTTCTACCACTCAATAATTTGCTAATATTAATTTATTTTTATAATATCTTTTAAAAGGATGTATCATCTTTTGCTTTGCGGACTAGCCAAAGAACTATGCCATCAGTATCGAGCTGCAATCCATAATAGTCTAAAATGTGTACTGATGTGGCTAGATCCACCGTATTGCTTGCGCACGTACCAACCATGTACCGTACCTGGTGGAGGTGCTACAGAATTTGCTCTCGCTAGAGCTCTGAAGGTGTTGCCGTCTAACGATAGCAATGATCCAGTTTATCGAAGTGCTTGTCAAATTCTTAGCGAGGTATGACGAATAATGATGCTTTACAACATAAAACTACGAATTCAACACCATAGCATTGCGCAACATTTCATATTAGCACTTTGATTTTATTTTTAAGAGTCTTCTAGCTATACCACGAACTCTTTATAACAACTCAACTAACAGTACAGCGGGAGGCTTTATCCGGATTTTAAAGGTAGGGATATTATTATTGGGTTGTTTACGAGAGAATTTTTATGTAAATATGGCAAAGAATAATTCGGCTTTAACTGATATTAGGAAATAGATTCCGAATCAAGTGCACTAGGCAGTCATAATTGGAAAGGTATTAATCCATATACAGGTACATAATTATTCCAGTTGTATTACTGTTCAGTGAATGTATTGGCTCTTTCTTGAGTTATTAACACTAAGATCTATTACTAACTTGGGTAGGCCATTTTGGCAGTAGCCACAATGTTATTGAACCAATGTATATTAGGTAATAAAATACTTGTTAATTTGGATATCATAAACATCATAAGAACGCATTTTCAGCATTACATGCTTACAAAATACATCGAAAGTTTATTACTTTTTTTGACTTGCTTATTTTTAGATACTACAGTGTCCGACAATGCTTACAAGTTATCACTCAGATTCTAAAAATAGATAAAGTGATTTCTGCCATAGGCTGCGGAAATGGACGAAATAAGGCAGACGAACAAGATAATTAAGCTGCTATAATTGACAAAATTAAAAGCAATGATTATTTTGCAAAGTAGGTCCACTTGTTCCTACTCATAGGGATATATCGGAATTTAAGTATATTAGAAAAGCAATACCAGATTGCAGAATACCGAACATTCTATCATTTATCTTCGAATAACAATGATAATTAATATGCAGATAGAAATGAGAGTACTTTATAAAATGCGGAAAAAATGATTTTTTATGAAAGTGTAGGAACACGTACGACATCAAAATTTTAAAGGTGGAAGAACAATATACTGCATCAGTACGCATTGGATTGGAATTGTTGTTCAACATTCATCGTAACAGCGGTTAAATATTAGCACCTAGAAGGTTGTTACTTTATAAAGACTTGCTCACTGTAAAAAAAATATTATTAACTTACACCGGAATTGATATTTTTATAAAAAATGCTTATGTATGGTACTTCGCATACATAGGGCATACATACATACATAAATACATACATACTTACATACTTATAGGAAAATACATACAATAAAAAAATAAAGATTTGAAATCCTATCGAGACCAAAGAAAATAAGAAATCATTGCGTTAGCGGCAACGTCGATGCCGTAGATAAAGGGGATTGGTGATTGGGATAATCTTCGTTTCTGTAATCTCCCAAACTATTCCCGTTCAGTAAACAGTTGATGATATTAAGTACGGCTACTCCAATGTCATCTACTGTAGCCAATCTGTCAGCAAGGGTCTCCCAATCATCAAGGCAGACGTTTCGTGGAAGCTGAAGTATAAAAAATGAGTGCAATAGGGATTACATGAAATATTTTTATTACATCTGATAAATTGCATATTATAGACTAAGGTTAATTACTTCAAATATTTGCTGAGGAACATTAAATTTTCCTCCAGCAGCGCCACCAGTAACTTTAATTGGAATAACAGTATGATCATTCCAGCAAAATTGTTCCGCTTCATGTGCTGCACCAGGTCCTCCTTCAATTAATATACAAATACTAATTGCCTTGGATACAATAATCTCACGCTCTCGAACATTATCTCCTGCAAATATTGTAGAACCAAATGGGACATCCATGAAGGTCTTGTCACTATTTTGCCTAGCTTGTAATGATCGATCCTAGAAGTTATAATACGTGAACAATGGTCAATTTTATACGCTATATCTGTTAACATTGTGTTTAAACCAGGTGATATCGTAAGTATTACTGACCTGTTCGTCGCGTACTGGCAGCACATGGTAAACTAAAGGTTCCTTTTTGGACGTTATACGTTTATTATAAAAACTACGACCTAAGGGACAAAATATTAGCTTTAAGCTTATGTATTATTCGACATTATCGTACGTATTTTCTTTAATTATAGTCAATCCTAACATGAAAGCTTTCCTTTACACACAACTTTACGAGAATTATTCTATGCATCTCTAAATATAATTGAATATACTTTACCTAAAACATCACCAACTCCATAGAATCCTCCAGTTATAAGGCTTAAATTATCGAAATCAGCCAAGCATGCACCAATGGACCTTTTTTTTAAGACGATAGCATATCAATGAGTAAATGTAATGTCCAGTTCATGCTAACTTTCTTGTCATACTTGCAAATCGCCTCTGTGTTCTTGCTATAAAATTTTGTGCCGCCAGAGATGTATACACAGGGATCGCTTCGTGGTAAAGTTTCCCTTAAAAGATAGCTCTACAAAGCCGTTGGTTAATTAAAATTTTAGGTAAAAACAATCTCTTTACTTTAAATACAAAAGCATTGACTAGTAAAATATTGTAATTGAAGATATTAATACCTTAAGAGAGATGTCAGCATCATTTAACAGATTATCTTCCCGATTAAACGTCTGTCGTACGCGAGCTACTAGTGTCTGTTTATAGTCTTTTCGTTGAACGTCCTAATGGCAATTGGTCATTAGAGTATAAAGGCTAAGCTACGGTTTGAAGACTTTTAAAAATCCGATATTGTATGCAAAAGTAATGTTAACTAAACAACCTCGAGAGGAGCAGTTCCAATTAGCATCGACAGCCAACCTGGCATGGCAAATTCTTCAGCTTTTAAAGGAATAAATCTTTTCCTATGTTCACAATAGTATACCTGATGTAGCAATTTGAGAATGGTGATTAAATACCAAATTGGATACCAAATAAACCCTTCAAATTTAGATTAACTGCAAAAGAATATACAAGATCTACGCACCTGCTGTTGACATAAACGTGAAGTAGCAAATGCTTGCGACAACAAAAAGATGACCATACAAGCTTCATCAGTAATTCTCTGAAATTCAATTCTCATTCGTTTTGTTGCTTTTTCGGTTAATTCTAGTTGTATGTTGATAATAAATATATATAAATATGAATTATTGCAATGATCTAAGCACTGAAACTTTAGACAGTATTACAGATTGCTCTAAATGGACTGTTTTTAATATTTGTCGATGAAGGGTAACGATTTTATTTCTATATCATTGTATAACATATTTCTATTGCTAGCATCAGACCAGTCTTTTGGCTTATTTTCGCCCTTTTGTTACTGCGGAGCTTTTTCTTGGCGGGTTCATTGACAGTCTTGTATAAATCCGCCATGAGTTCACTGGTCAATACTATTTCGTAACCTTCTTCTTCTAAACAATTTTTGATTTCATTAGCCTGCAAATTGAAGAAGCGAATTAATTTACGCTTTTTCTTATGGTATGATTTTGTAGTGCTATAGTTACATGCAGTTAAACATGCTTAGATTATACAGGTTAAAATACCTATTACATTCAATAGCAAAAATAGAGATCTATCCTTACAATATTGTCCTGAGTAGGGTGACAGCTAAGAATGATAAGTGGTTTTCCATCACGAGGCTCCTGGGATGCCATAGGGGATGATGCATTTCCAAACAATTGTAAAGGGCAACTGCGTATCATCGAAATTCTCTTCTGTAGTTGCGTATCTGAACTTTCGTCATCGAACGTTTCTGTACTATCGGATAGCGATATAGATCGACGGCATAATTCGCCTATTTGTTGAGCAACTCCAACTACATACACTTTATCCCAATATGAAATGTCATCTTTATTACCATCTAGTAATCAATCGGAATTCATCATTTTGTTGTCAATTAATTCATGCTACAAGAAAAACATAATGGAAGATTTGAAAAGAAACCTTTTAAAATATTTTCCGTAGTTTTCCATGGAACAAACTGTGTTGTTGCAAATTGAATAGCTAGACACCTATAGTTTAGAAATGAAGTGTAAAGCGAGGAAACAAATAATGTATTAGACGATTATGTGGCATAACTTACAGATAGCTGTTAGTTATAATGCTGCATGCAATTTAATTTTATTTCACAGAGTGTATGAATTTTTCAAACTTACGCGGGAGGCCAATCACTTAGAAAATTAACAGGCACGACATATTTTCCTAAAACATCCGCTAGCTTGATCTAATTTATCCAAACACCAAAATAATTTGTGAAGTTGGTTTGTTATCTCAATATTTTTATGTTACGTTTCACAGTAGCATGATAAACGTAAAAGAAATTAGTATTATATTCCTAGAATTGAATTTGCTTACTTCTCTATTTGTCCATTGCGTTTTACCATACCTTGGTGTGACAAGTGGTACAAATACCTCACATGAACTAACAGCATCGTTAAGGGAATCTTGCCAATCAACACCGCACTTTATTTCATGAACATCCTGTGAAATAGGATAGTTAAAAGTAGTAATGGTTAAGTAAGAAAATTAATTTAGCGAAGCTAGGAGTGAACTGTAAATTAGTACCAACATCAAACAGTAACATACAGGCACTATAACCTACATCATTACACGTACTAGGATAGGTGATCACTACATACGTATGCGTATTAACAATCTTTCACACGTATTTACCAGATAAACGCTAAAACCAAGCTTTTCAAACTCTTCTTTCAAACTTAAAGCATGCAGTGCGGCTTCAGCTCTAACATAACTAATAAGTATTTCCTTTTCACTGTTGTCTTTTACGGCAATTGCTTTAGATCTATTTTGTAAATTTGCTACTGCCGGATGGAACAGTCTATGAGATCTAATACTATCTGCTGCTGATGTAAGGGCATTGAAATCTTTATTTTTAATCCTATGATATTGAAAAAGAATGAAGAAATTTATCGGTAAGCCGTAGAGCTGGCCTCTATCTAGCCTTCGTGATCAAATATATTGTGCTACTGTACTGTACTAATAGTATACTGATAGCTTACGGTGTATCATTTGAGTGAGGAATGGCGACTGCAACAGAGCCTGTGAAACGAAATAGTTAACGTTATTTAGATTTATTTATCTCGTCGTCATCTAAATAGTTGATATAAGAGCTCTACCGAGAGTACTAAGTGTAAAAAATATAGACTTGCTAAAGATGAAACCTTTGCGTTCGAGAACTAGCATGATACCATAAATAAAAAATAAAATAAGGAAAATTTGCAGTATCCTCAATGACTTTTACTATTAAAGGTATAACTATCTCATCCTCAATGATTTTTAATTTCGTATAAAATTAACGTTAATAAATCACTATCTGATAAGTTAAAAATTGATTGCCCTATCGAATTGATCACAGCAAATGCCATATCCATTACGTCTTATATATTCTAGGTCTATATAAAAAATGCCTATCATATCCATGAGAATGCTACTATTCTTATTATCGTGATTATTTAAGTAGAGTATTCATTGCCTAGCTTTCTCTGTATTTTTACCCAGCTTACTATTATCGGGCGCTTGAAATTGGATATAAATTATTTGCTGCGTTATAATATCAGCAATAGTTAGTCTTTCTTCTTGAAAGGTGAAAACAGGCCAGCAATTATGATCCAAGAAAGTAAACGCTGCCAGCTTGGCACCTTTTAGCTATTATAAAGTATGTGATAATAGGCTAAGTGAGATATCATATACTGGCAATGGTTATCAAATTATTATCATTAAGGTTGTCTACGGTGATGATTGAAATTAAGTTACGGTGTATTAACAACTTTAACCTGTTGGTTAATTTCACGTCGAGTTTCAGACAATAGCAGCGTAATTTTAGCAAAGATGAAACCAAGCGGTTTTTTATCGGTTGACATAATTCCAATTCTGCATTCATCAACTATAAAAAAGGATGAAAATACCGATGGGTAATTGATTCATATTCTATACGCGTATATTGACTATCTTACTGTACAGTATAGGGCTGAAATTGATGGCATTAGGGTACTATAACAGATGACACGCGAGCTAAAGATTCACTGTTTGAGAACTTTTGTATCTTTTGCTTACCTGCAGTTTGAATAGTAACTAGGTTATCATGATCTACCACATGGCTAGCTCGAATGCACATTTCTTGATTTGAATTCACAGGCCAACTATAGCATTGCAATTAATTATTGGATAATAATTGAAATATCTTAGTGATAGGTGACTAGTCCATATTTTTAGCTGCAATTTCATCCTTATAATTTATATAATAAATGTGGTTTTAAGTTAATCATGGCATCATCAAATCAGGTATAAGCAGTTGCATTCGTCAAAATTTTTAATAATATCATTAATCAACAATCACTACTATAATAAACTTCTTCTACTTCTAGTTACGAATAAACATACTGTACTGTAGATACACTACGTATCCTGCGTTGCATGTATCAACAAAGTAGATAGGCATACTACGTCTAACCAATACAGTATAAGATATCAAGGGAGTGTCAGAAGATGGAATAGTAGGCATCGAAAAGGAAAATTGAAAAGAATATTTCTTTTCAGCCTACTCTACATCAGCGATTGCTGCTACTCCTTTCAATGGGCTGGCCATGATGTCGGTTGTTATTGGTACACTTGGAAAAGAGTGTCTATTGCAAGTTTGCAAAGTATTACAATGCGCCATGTCATCTGGACGCGATTAAGACACCAGTGAGCACGACACAAAGCTCAACTTGCATTTATCAACATGGTTTGATGAGCTTGTGTAATATGGCACTTGTGCTAACTCATCATCATAACCATATTATGATGCATTTAAATGCTAATACAGTATTCATTACACCATCAATGCATCCATTTCATTCTCCACTGATGCGTGTACCGTATGAACAATTAACGACTAGTGGTGATCCTTCCCACTTACCCCTTCCGAGTGAGAAAACGAAAAGATTGAGGTAAATTATCCAATTGATTGGCTATGCATAGGCGAAGTTGCTGAATGCTTGCATCCGATATATTATCGCATACCACCACTCCTAGAACATGATAAACCGTGGAAGTATCTCGATGATCCAGCTGATGATGGAATGGCTTATTGGCAATAAAGCGAATTCCGATGACATTACTCGATTGTCGTGGATTAAGATAATTCGGGCTGCTTCGTATACTTTGCATTACTGTATTCAATTAGCTAGGGCTACAAGCTGAAGAGAGATTATTCAATAGAGATGAGAATGTCGGCCAAGTTGTTCAACTAGAAAGAAGAGCTGGACAGGTAGAGCAAGTTGCAAATTTTATTAAGTCAACAAGCGCAGCCGAACTTGGGCATGTCTGCAAGTATTTGCTCAGGTCTTGCTCGATGTCTACAGTACTGACCACTGTAATAAAATACGGTAGGGTTAGGATGGCCCGGTCAAAAGCCGCTGGCTACAGTACGATCCTACGGTGCATACTACTGTAACGCGGGCGATGCAACTCATACTGAACGAGCCAATGGCGAGGCTGGCCACTGGCCATGGCTGTACTGACTGACTGACTGACTGACAGGCCAATCCACAGCCAGCAAATTGCTAAATGAATACGACTGGAGGCTGACGATGGCCGACTGTCTATTTGGATAGGAGATTATGGCAACTAGCCAAGGATGCCTAAGATACTCCACATACCAGTAATTCTATTTCTTTGTGAAACTATTGCTAGAGCTCTTTTAGGCAGAGGGGGAAAAAACATAGCGATAGGATATAGGAAGTCCCTTTTTGCCTGGAGAAATCCTGTACAGTAGTCCATGACGATCTGCACTGTTTACGTCGATCCTTTTCCATTCCACTGCTTGACTTATACAGTACTTGAAAATAGAAGGTACAGTAATATACACGTCAGTACTAGTATTACTGTCCTACAGCATCATGCCATCGGTGAATTTACTGTAGGGAAGGCACTATTGAATCTACTGTAGGAGTCTATCATGCATGGGACGAAAATGGAGAACTTTGCTAATTCCCCCAAATTCCAACTTACTCAAGTCTGTCTGTACCATACATCGCGCATGTGCACTGGACAGTACTTGCAACAGAGTCAATCTTGTACTTTCCTTTACTGCCAGGACTCGACTGTCGATGATTGCTGGCGATTAGTTGCTAGTCAAATCCCAAATATCCAAATATCAATCTAAAATTGCCAATTCACTACTTGGAAGAGTATTAGTAGGGGCCAATTTTTGCATCGTCGTCTTCTTGTGCTATATTGTACTGTGTATCAACGGACTTGTAAGAAACCCCTGACTAGATCGACGCGTAGATTCAACTCGGTATTAGCAAGCTGTCTAGATCGCAGGTCCAACTGCAATTGTGCAACGTTAAGACCAAATTAATCCATGATTGCATCACTCCAAATTAAATTCCTCTTCCTCGCGCTCTTCAATTCCCCAAGATGGCAGATATCACATTCTCAGCTGTAGCCAAATTACAAATACAAGAAATTATTCGACTTGAATTTGAAATTCAATCTATTATTCAACAAATTAAAGATAGCCAAGGACCTTTTGAAATACTCAATAGATTGCATAGCCAGGTGAAAGATTGCATGAAGATCCTAGAGGAAGACGTCAATGTAAGGGGATAATGGATAAAACTGGAATGTCAGTCTTTCGATATCGGTCTTGACAGTGAAATGATAGTATTTTTACTTGACTATTTGAAGCATAATAATGTATGTTATGATGATGAAAATTGGCTTGCTTGCATGATTAACCAATTGATTATACAAATGTGTTCTAGTAAACAGCTTGATCATCATACTTTTCACTGCATTTTAGAAATTAAAGATATTGGCCCATGAAGAGGATAAAGACAGCCAAACACAAGAAATCTTGCAAGTAGCAGGCCGCCACCAGCAACAACTGGAAAGGTAACAATACGTATACTGTACATCATTCCTTACTACTAAACTGTAGATTTTACAACACGGTCGTAGCCAAATCATACACGCGTAGACGGACAGTACTTCTCGTCTATAATAATCTCCTGTTTCACTCTGTGTCTATAATACTGGCCAAAGCTCTCAAAAATCTCTCAGGCGTGCCTTGCTCACCGCTAAAACTAACATCGAAAATACCGATAGACAAGTACTTATCGAAGGCGGTTCTTCCCAGTTAAGACAAAGGTAATACAGTACTCTACTTTCGTAGTCATACTACAATAAGATTGACACTAGTCATGAATATGGTATAAATTAGATTGTATAATATGGTATAAAATGATTTCATATTGCTTGAAGTATCAACCTTTCGATAGCTCATGTGTATACGCTTCACAGATATAGCTATACAATGTTCCTATACTTGAAATGATTGATTTATTAATTTACAGTCAATATCAAAAATTGTAGTAATGTAAAGAGTGGATAAATTCAAAAATACTTTAAAAATCTTCTCCCTATTTTTAATTAATGCTGTGCACATAAATATGAAATATGTCTGGTATCGAATAACTAGGGTACAAACTAAAAAAGAAGCAGTCAAATTAGCTAGCGAAGTAACGAATGAACTAATACACATCAATCAAATGATGGCGGAACAAGTTAAACAGAGCGAACAGAATATGCAGCTTTTAGGTATAATGACATCATTCAGTTACTTACCGTACGAAGCTACGGGCAATTTTTACCCCATTGGCTTTGCTAGAACATAGTTTTGTATTTCCAACAAATAGCAGTGTCGATTGGGTTTGATCGATAAACAGTTGTGAGTTAACGTAAGCTTGATATGTTTATGTACTCGTATACAGCAACTTCATCCATGGCCCTCACCGATACTGGAGAAGAGTTGAAAAATCAGTCTGGAGTTATTACATCTAGTAATAAGCTGCTGACAAAATATGGCCGACGTGAATTAACAGACACTGTCGTTATTTTTTTTGGTGTCTTGGTCTTTCTCGCCACAGTCTTATATATACTCAAAAAGAGAATGTTTTAATTGATCATTATTCGAGCTTATATCAACATTTTATTATACTGTATCCAAGATACTAATGAATTATTTTTCAAAATCTCTATATAAGAAATAGCAATGGTAGTCTATACATTGTTCAATTCTGTGAAGTGATTATTCAAATAAATACTATGAAATTTTTTGTTTTTCCATCTCGGTGACGTTGCCAATTGCAAATAATTCATCTCCATATATATCATATTCCTATTCACAAATTATCTAGCATTGCACATTGATTCATAAAAAAATTACTTTACCATAAACCATGCTAGTATGGCTGATATGTAAAATCTGAAACTTATAAAGTAGATGACACTGAGGTACAAAATTTATAGTGATGTCTTTTCGTACCGAACACGTGTAATACAATGTGGAACAAGTTTTATTCTATTACATTAATATCTTTATAGTAATAAATTGTGAATTTTAACTTTTGCTTACATACTCGCATATATCAATTTAATTCAAACTTTTTTGGGGAATTAAATCACTGTATGATACTGTAGATAGAATAATGTTGTCATTGTATTTGTAATACACTTGATTTGCTTCTCGGCAATAATTTGGCTTCATGGCAAACTTGAATAAAATAGTTTCTTCCTTCGTGGAATCGGTAATCGATATAAATATATATATATTCCTATACTTTGAATGCTTAAAAGTATTTAATAGCGTTATACAGTAAGTACAACAAGTGATAGACGCCATTTATGAATTTAATTAACAGGTATCGGTTATAAATGAGTGAAAGGATTTGCAGTCCTAATTACTATCTGTTGCTGTATAGCAACCTTCATTCGATTTTACTTTACACTATGCAATTAATTCAGCTAATCATTTATGCCTCAGCAAGCTCACGAGCCCATCTAGTACCAAATTTCGTTTTGATTTTAAGTCTAAGGTACTCCGATCTATTGCACGCCATATGATACAACAACTGATTGAAGGTAAATTAAAGATTTTATATTTTTAAGTTGATAAGAACGTTCTCTTTTCACGAATAGAATAAAAATCCAAATGAGCCATGAAGCATTAGCTCTATTTTCGTCGATATGTCATTCGCTAGAATGAGGTAGCTTACTAGGGGCTAGAGTCGCCAGCATAACTTCTTTGCAAGTGATCGTTAAATTTTATTATTTATAATTAAAGGGTAAATACAAATAAAGCCTCATGTACACATTATACAGAACTATAACGTACATTGTCTAGACAAGAAACATTTATAGTAATAAGATATGCTTTCATTGGTGTCATATTACGATTAAGCTTACAACAAAAGAAGACCAAATCCACCTCGTAGTTTGTTATTAATTAGAATTACTCATCTAATATTGATTTCTGTACTTTTATGTATTATTGTACACTTTTCGTTTTGCTTTTGGACCAAGGTGTAAAACTTTGCCTGTTAGAGCTAGACTTCGGCTACTTTTTATTTCATAAGGGAAATCCTTAGACATGGTGATCTTCCTTGATTGGTTAATGATAAGTCGATTAGTTTTTTTCAGTAACATGATGGAATTTTTAGCGGTAAGGTACAGTAGTGAATGGAATATGTATAAAATGGATAGAGTAAGAAGAAATTGATGGTGTTCACCAATACTGGTATACTCGATACAGAGCATTTACAACGATTGGTTGAGAGACTCTATCACTAAAGTACTCCTTTGCTTGATGTATATCAGTAATGATGAAATATTGGATATCGGATGGATGGGTAACTTTAATCGTATCGACTCTACCTATTGATTTTAATTTTCAGTTAACTGAAAAAAAATTAATTTGTAAAGGAGAGTGTTATGGCAATATTGCGCTGTGGTGTAGATACTGTGTAATGCCATACACGCGTATACCAGCGTTTTTGGGTATTCTTATTATCAATAATAGCTAAAAGCGTATGGAAAATAATCAAGTCTTAATTTGATCACTGTGTGATGTGGTAATAGATGGAAGTTATTCGATTATTTTAGCGTCAAGGTGGTAAACATCAACTAGGATCACTTTTGAATGTGTTTATTGAATTATATGTTGTGATAATAATGCAGTATAAATATTGCATCCATTTATCATAGTACGCCATGGTGGTACCATCGAATTTGAATAATCAGCATGAACCTCTGTTAAATGAGCACATTATCGTAAACCGTCAGTAAAGCGACGGGAGTTTGCACTAGTAAATATTTAAGCACATCGATGATTCCTTTGCAAGAGCGCTATAAAAAGTTTTAGTTATCCTTAGAGAGGGCTGGGAAAAAGCTGCAATTTGCTTTAGTTCAATACGTGACACAGTCCTTTTTTTAGGCATCAACTGCTCACCTTGACATACGCGTATGCAGAAGTATTGCACGAATTGATATTTGGTCTTTAACAACAAGTAGAGTATAGTCAAATTCAGCTATTCGATGTTTGAACAGTAGTTTATGGCGATATCATCTGGTAGTGGCCTTAGCAGTATCATATTTTTTGAATATATTTCATCAAGTTGTACCTTGTAGTTATGTTCATTTTAAGATTTGCTCTATTTTTAATGAACTCCAATTTGGGATTTGTGGATTGAGAACCTTGGCAGTTCAGAAATTTCTTCATGACATTCGTGAATTCAATCAAATGAAAGAGAGGCAGTCACTGTAGCTCAATATTGACATAGTCAGGCTAGCGGATTGACTATTTGAAATCTTTCTCCGAGTATGTAAGTAAAATAAATAACGTTTGCATGGTATGCGAATTTCTACAATTATACCAGTGATGGATGATTTCGTTTCAACTGTGCAAACGTGTATTGAAAAATTGGTCAGTTACTACGATACATTGGTCGTGATGGTAGTAACATTTCCTTGAGCTTTTATTATGATAGTATTGCGCTTGTAGATAATAAATAAAACCTAGTGATCATCATTGTGATTTAGGCACATTGCTTTACCATGCATATTCATGGGCAAGTAAGTTATGGTATCAATACTGCATATATACTGTACAAATGAATATGTACTCGGATACCCTTATAAAGCAATAACAGGATAATAAAGTTTATGGCTTATTATAAATTGAAATTGAAATGGTATAGTAACAACGATTGGGGTATGTTGATCATAGGGGATTACTATATTCAATTTTTGCTCTGGCACGCATTTTACTCTAGCGTGTGTGTTTGTGCTATTTACCTTGAAGTGATTTGAGCTTACAGATGCAATAAAAATGGATCACCTATCTCCATTTTTTTATAATAAAGTTCAAGGCCTATTCTAATTGCAAGTAGTACAGTAGCATCAACACGGTTAGGTTGGTGATTGCTGTATTTGATTTTTCTTCTGGCAACATTTGTCTGTAGTGTGTGTGTGTTTGTGCTGTTTCTCTTCAAGCAATGTAAGCCTGCAAAGCCGATGGATAGCGATTGCTTTCCTCCGTTATTTTATCTTTTGTTTATTTGCATCATCTGACAGTATTCTATTCAGCAAGGCCATCATCTGATAGTACTGTCTTCTTGTCAGCAAGGTCATCATCATGACAGTACTAGTTGGATTTTAAATGGTGCAACTGTGTCTGCAAGAACTGTAAGATCTCATCGGCTCGATACAGTCTATGGATTAGCAAGTCGATAGTAACTCGCACACTCTACTGTGGCAAGAGAATTTCTGATACAAGGAGATGGATTAATACGCGTATCATTGATTGATTGATATTGTACAGTACTGAGAAGAGAGTTGTATCTTTCTTGACGTATATCATCAAGTCCAGTTGAAGAAGAAGCCAAAGTCTTGGCCTTGTTATTGTAAGATCGTTGATGACAACACTGCATATCGTCTAGTTGTTAACAAGGGATCCAATGTTGACATTGATTGAACATTTCAAGCGGTGGTATACTCTACTGTACTGCACTATTTGTACTTTGGAATCTATGAATACCGTCCAAGTGGAAAATGTTGCTTTACAAATGGCAGTCAAAAGAGACAACTACAGCTGCATTATCCAATTTTTAGCATGTCATGACTGCCAACATGATGGCAAGAAGTCGTTAACAAGGGATCCAATGTTGACATTGATTGAACATTTCAAGCAGTGGCAAACTCTACTGTACTGCACTATTTGTACTTTGCAATCCATGAATACCGTCCAAGTGGAAAATGTTGCTTTACAAACGGCAGTCAAAAGAGAGACAACTACAGCAGCATTATCCAATTTTTAGCATGTCATGACTGCCAACATCAATGTCGGCAAGATGGAGATGGCCACCTCGCAAGTTGAAAAGGCTAACTGAACAAGATGGCCACTTGGTCACGCATGCAATTGAGCAAGTGGTTTTCCATCATAATATCGTGTCTCCCATGATCGCCTTACCAGACTGTCAATCAAAGGGCAGCACGCGCAAAGCACGAACGTACAACCGTGCAAGATTGAGTCGTTTTGCGTCGATCGTTCTCCGTGGAATAGACAGCAGCTGCAGCACTGGAGGACTACGCATGGTCAATAAAAGTGGATGGTTTGGAAAGTCAAGCATGGATGGTTGTGTGTTGGAAAAGATGGCTGCTACCGATTGAAAGTCATGCCTGTGCCTTGCCTTCATGAACAACAATCCGAGTGATGGCGTATTGAGTAGTCCAAGCTTCCGCCTAGCGTTGAGGAGTTTCTTTTGGCTTACGTTATTGTTGTACCTACTGTATGTAGGTCAAGTTGGTGTATGCCAGTGAATTGTGGTAACAATCACTGCGTGGTGAATTTCTCCAAGCAGCACCCGTACACCAGTCTTGCTGATGTAAGAAACAAGGGCACCATTGCTGACTGAGTGTTGACAGTATGGCATGGAGATGACAACGCCAAGTGTACAGTCAATAACAAATGGCAAAACTATTTTGGGCTTGCGGTACAACAATAAATAAACATCCACAGTCACGCAGTTTGCATGTCCACAAGAGTTAGCGTGGACTTTTGGAAATACCGTACTGTCGAGGACAGTATACTGTACTGGATTTCCACCAGTTAATGATACTGTAGACAGTGTTGTGTTGTATAGGACGATCTAGGGTTAGTGGAATACTAACAAGTTGTGTTGAAGGTGGGTACTAATGTCCTCTCAATCAGCATGGAAGACAAGAGATTGGACAGGTAGTTCAAGTTCTTGTAAAGTGAGCAACTAACTCTTCTTCTCTTTTTATTGCATTGAAAAGCGCCGGCTTGTATACGTACAGTACGTTGTTGACACTTGCAACGCATTCTAATTGCAAGTTTGTACAGTACAACCGTGAATTGGCTATCGAACAAGTACAGTACAGTAGAGCGTCCAGTCCAGTAGTGTCACTAGACTACAGTCCAGAAGACTACAGTGTACAGTACAACGAGCTGGATACTGTACAGTGTACAGTACTGTACTGGAAGGAAACGTCGGTGACAACGAGTGACGACCTTCCAGGTTCAGCCCATCGGCCAGCCGTGGGTGTCTCTGGTGTTGTCAAATACTCTACAGTATAGCGTCCAGTAGACTACAGTGTACAGTACAACGAACTGGATACAGTACTGTACAGTACTGGAACTGGAAAGAAACGTCGGTGACGACGAGTGACCACCATCGAGGTTCAGCCCATCGCCAGCCGTGGGTATGGCGTCTCTGGTGTTGTCAAATACTCTACAGTATAGCGTCCAGTAGACTACAGTGTACAGTACAACGAACTGGATACAGTACTGTACAGTACTGTCAAGAAACGTCAGTGACGACGAGTGACCACCATCGAGGTTCAGCCCATCGCCAGCCGTGGGTATGGCGTCTCTGGTGTTGTCAAATACTCTACAGTATAGCGTCCAGTAGACTACAGTGTACAGTACAACGAACTGGATACAGTACTGTACAGTACTGTCAAGAAACGTCAGTGACGACGAGTGACCACCATCGAGGTTCAGCCCATCGCCAGCCGTGGGTATGGCGTCTCTGGTGTTGTCAAATACTCTACAGTATAGCGTCCAGTAGACTACAGTGTACAGTACAACGAACTGGATACAGTACTGTACTGTCAAGAAACGTCAGTGACGATGAGTGACCACCATCGAGGTTCAACCCATCGCCAGCCGTGGGTAGGGCCGTGGGTGTCTCTGGACTGTTATCAAATACTGTATAGCGTCCAGTAGACTACAGTACAGTGTACAGTGTACAGTACAACGAAGTGGATACTGTACTGCACTGGAAAGAAACGTCAGTGACGACGAGTGACCACCATCGAGGTTCAACCCATCGCCAGCCGTGGGTAGGGCCGTGGGTGTCTCTGGACTGTTGTCAAATACTGTATAGCGTCCAGTAGACTACAGTACAGTGTACAGTGTACAGTACAACGAAGTGGATACTGTACTGCACTGGAAAGAAACGTCAGTGACGACGAGTGACCACCATCGAGGTTCAACCCATCGCCAGCCGTGGGTAGGGCCGTGGGTGTCTCTGGTGTTGTCCAAGTTTAAAAGCTTCAAACTCGCCCCCAGGCCAATCACTCTCGCTCGCCCTCTTGCAGTACACTTGCAATATTGTCAGTGACTTTGGTGGAAAATTGCAACAAACTCCAAGAAAAAAATGTCTGCCATCCAAACAGTAAGTCTTAGCGTGTAGATAGAATGCATTGAGGCATGTTTTGTTGTTCCTTTGGGTGTTTGTGCACTTATTTGAAGTGGACCAACCCCCTAAAACGCTGCAAGAAAACAGTTGAAAACAACCAATGGCGTCGTTGACGCGCATTGGACGCTTTCCACCTTCGATACAATCCATGCAAGCCTGTGGGCTGCAATGCCTACGATCAAGTAGATGGCAGCAGCCTTGGCTAAGCAATGACAGCTCGAAAGAGACTTGCTCCATCAGTTTCAATGCTTGGTTAGGTTTTACCAAGCAATTTTTTCCTTTTTTTTGGTTTTTTCCCTTTTTCAAGTCATCACTTTGTCTTGATGATAATGTTCGTTACAACCAGGGATGGTCATGACAAGGATCGATATTGTTGATACTAGAATTAATAAGCTATACTTTTCAAATGATGCAGGTGTTGGACAAGTTTACCGTTTCCACGGAAACTTTACGTGCTATGATTGAACAATTCCATAGCGAAATGGCTGATGGATTATCCAAGGATAAAAAAAGCAGTTTAAAAATGTTGCCCAGTTTTGTTCGATCAACACCCACTGGAAAAGAATCGGGCGACTATTTAGCACTGGATATTGGTGGAACCAATTTTCGCGTTTTGCGTTGCAGCTTAAATGATGGCCAAATTCAAACCAATGCCGAGGTTTATCCTATGAGCTCTGAAGTGATGACAGGGACAGGTCGTGACCTCTTTGCTTTTATTGCTGATTGTATCAAAAGCTTTTTGCAAAAATATGATATCAAAGGAAGCAACATACCACTAGGTAAGAATAGCTAGCGTCCAGTCAATACCACACGTTGATATTGCTATCCAAAGGGATGGCTAGGATAGGATAGGATTTCCATGTTGTAAGTACAATAGTCCTGTGAAATGAGAGAATTTCATCAGCTCGTTATTACTACCCATGCTACTTTTGTTGATGATAGCAAATTCCTTCAATGTGGTCAGACACAATCTCGACAATCAGTCACTTCATCGCCGTTTCCTTTTTTTACACATCTTAAGGGCCTAATGGCTCGTTCTACAATAAGCCAGTAGGATTAGTAATAATAATAGTCAGACAGCTGGTTAGCCATTGTTAGAGTTCAAACTATTTCTCATGCGGATATTGGCCTTAGAAACTCTTCCATGCTATTCCTTTTATTCCACATGCTAACATCAAATTGAGGAGAAAGAAGATCAATCAATTTAAATTACTTTGTTGCATGCTATTGAAACAGCATTGATTGTAATCGATTGATGCACTACAAGTATGCATCTACTGCACAATCGACAACGCCATCAAACGATATACTACTAGAAGAAAAATCTGTTGTTGAAGTTTGAGTACGGAAAATGGATTGCTTTCCTTTTATTTTTGCATCGAATGCAATTGTTTTGAGGTAAGCTAGCGTTGATCGAGTGAGCATGAACTGCACTCCTCCAAGGTACGAGTATTGTAATCATGTAGTACTGAAGAAGAAAAAATGGGCTGAATCATTTTCCTACTTTTGCCAAGACAGCCTATCCAAATTACAACTCTTAATGTCCATATTGAGTATAGAGAAGGACAGTTTATGCATTACTGTCTGGTAAATAATGAATTTTTCGACTTTCTTGCCAAGACAAACACGGCTGTCTCTATACAGAGTATGTGTAGTACTGTAAAAGAAGAGTTTATGCATTACTATCCGCTAGAAGAGATCGAAAGACTAGCTATACCCTATTCATATCAATACACATAAAAATAGAAACAGTTTTTCGGACTTCTATATCATGATTTACAAGCCAGAAAAACTGTTTGGTTTACATTATGATTTCGATAGAGAACGCGAAAACTTGTTTCACTCTCCGGCCTACTCTACTCAGTGTATAGTGCATACTATACGATGTGATCCGATATTACAATTTTTGCACATCAGTTTGTGCAAAATGGATCGCTAATACACGGTATTAATATGTCCAGATAGCTCTTGACTTGAAGATTCTATATCCGTAATTCAAGTTTACATTGAAGCAGTAAATTTAGCGCTACAACCCATGCAAAACCAATATTTTCTACCGAAGCCATTTCTAACTAAGCTAATTTTCATCGGGATAAAGATTCATCAATGAGTAATTAACTTTCTATGATAAGAGACCTATCTGTACATATACGAAAGTTGATAACGGTTGGTCTTTTTCAAGCGTTTTACCGATAGTTTTTACTATTCAAATATATCGGAGAAAAGGGATCACATTGTAACTACTATACTATACCTGACAGTATCATATTGCACACTGTACTGTACACTAACAGTAATGAAGGGAAAATATTTTGCCAAATCTCATACAATACGCTCCAGGATATGAACCACTCTAACCCTAACTTTGTGGTCTTTCGTCTATCTTTGCAGTTTAGAATCATACTCTTGCTTCTGTATCCAAATTCGTCGACACCTTTACTATGAACGACCGTACCAAGTTATTTGCCAGTATGGTGTCCCTAACAAATGATGATGACATCATATGCTTGAAATGTTGTTATTTTACCATCCGTATCTAACGATAGGACCACTTGTTTTTCCCTAACGGAGTTAATGAATGAATATTGCAATCTTATCTACAGTTTATCTAGCATTGAAACAATTGGCGATCAACACATACAGTACAGTACTGTACAATACATCGCACACTCTACTGTACAGTATCAGACTTCTAAATTATAGTAAACATATTGCAATACCAAAAAAATGCGATAAAAGCTTATAGATAGACATTGGCATATCAATGATGTAGGTCAAATCGACATCATCAAGTCATTGTGATAATACCTGTATGAATTAATTAAAATACTTTTGCAATCTTGCAGGCTTTACGTTTTCATTCCCATGCACCCAACATAGCTTGAACAGAGCTACCTTAATCACTTGGACTAAAGGCTTTACTGCAAGTGGCGTAGAGGGTGAAGAAGTTGTTCAACTCTTGCAAAATGCTTTAGCTGAGAGATGTCCGGTAAGACATTAGTCAATGATGGTCAACTACAGTGCTCATGTAGCAATTAATTGAACTCTAGGATACTAATCAGTTATTGAAAGTGACAAAGTTACTATTGTACACTAGTGTGATTTCAGACCATCTTAGTAGGAAAGGAATAGTTTTTTTAGCAATGGTCATCAACCTATTGCACACTAAAAATTCGTCAAAAATGTGACTCGTACTAACATCAATCTTAAAATATCTCTTCATGATACATTTCCAACATCAGGACTTTAAAGTCAACGTTGCCGCCATTGTCAACGATACTGTAGGCACATTAATGGCTAGCGCCTACGAAAATCCAAAGTCTGTCATTGGCTTAATCATCGGTACTGGCACTAATGCGTGCTATATGGAGCAGTTAGATGCTGTAGAAAAATGGACTGGCGACCGTGATGACCCAAAACAGGTGATCATAAATATTGAATGGGGATCTTTCGGAGATCATGGACATTTGGATAATATCCGAACTGGCTTCGACAGAGAAATCGATGAACATTCTCTAAATCGTGGCAAAAATACGTAAGTTCTTCAGAAATTTTGAATTTCTCTCGTCTAGTCTCTTCTCGAATTGATTGGATACGCTCTCACTTACTGCAATTTTACGCTATCAAGTGACTTATAATGAGGCCTGATTCACCTTCTTCTCATAGCTTTGAAAAGATGATATCTGGTATGTACTTAGGTGAAGTTGTCCGCTTGGCTGCATTACTCCTTGTTAAAGATGGTGCCCTCTTTAATGGCAATGCCGGTGATAAATTTAATATTCGTGAAAGCTTTGAAACTCGTTATGTATCCGAGATCGTAGGGTAAGTGATGCCTATTGAAATTGATCACCAACTGATTGATTGACGTAGTTCAATTTATCGATGAATAATAACAGTTATTATACACTTTGTTAATAGGGAAAATGGTGCAGCTAATGCTCGCGAAATTTTAAAGGATAAATTTGGTATTGACGCTAGTGAAAGTGATGTCGATACAATAGTCAAATTATGTAACGCAGCATCGGTACGCGCTGGTCGTTTAGCAGCAACTGGAATAGCCGCTATTTTGTTAAAGATCAATGAAACCAAGGATCGTATTGTGGCCGTTGATGGTTCTGTATACAAGAAACATCCAACTTTTGCCAAAATCATGTCTGATACTCTAAGCGAGCTCATTCCAGGTAACACAATATCATGGGTACTTGCAGACGATGGCTCTGGTGTTGGAGCAGCTATGGTTGCTGCTGTTACTAAAGTCTAATGCCATAAATTGCCCAATTCAATTTGTCTATCTCATTCACTTACGAGTATAATAGTTCATAAGCTACTACCGTAATTAAACATTTTTAATTCGTTATGTTATTGTAGGCTGACGCCGCTATGGTGTATGCAATAAAAATGTAATCTTAAGTGGCTCGATTTTTCCAGTTTCATGCTATTCGATATTTTAAAATTTTGTACACCTTTAGTGGGTAACTTTAAAATTGATCTTTATTAGCAAGCAATTGGCACCAAAAATTGTATTGTCGTTAATATTGATGAAAAACCTTATCAAAAATAATAAAAAAATTTACAGTACTTTTACAGGCTTATACGTATGTGAATGTATGTATCTACGAGTATATATACAATACTGGTCACAAGAATAAGATTAGTTCATTAGCGGTTGCTATTTTAAAATTCAAGATTTAGCATGACCTATGCGTACCACTGAATAACATTCTTAACTTGAATTCCTGCTAAACAAGTATAATACTATAAAATGAGATTACACCATCAGATAGAAATGAAACATAGCATCATTTGTCGCTAGTTTATAATCAAGTTGGGTAAGCCATAAATAACAGTATTATACCAGTCATATGATAGCTGCACTGAATTTGTGTTCTCTTCTTCTTCACGGCGACGAGCCTCAACAGCAGCAGCTATATCAAGACTACCTTTATGACTTGATGCAAGATCTTGTTCCAATAGTTTTTGTTCCTTGACAGGATCTAGCAAAGCGTATACCATTTGACCAACAGTTTTATTTCCCCGTTTGGTTACCTAAAACAACAGCGGTTATGAATTAATATATAATTGTAGAATGCAATTTTCTAAGGAGATACTGTGCCCTACAAATATACAGCATTTTGGATAGTAAGTGAAATATGATTGCCGACACATTTGTACAAGCATCAATCTAATGCTTAATTGGTAAATTTACCTCCAATAAATTGGCGTATTCTTTCCTTATTCTGTTGTAATTTCGTTCCCCATTGGTTAATTACGACTGAACCCACTCCGGACAAAGTAAAGAGTGCAGCTGTTTCTAATGGTTCTTCTAGTTGTAATTCTTCCACACTATGCGATAAAATTTTAAGAATATTAAATTTCGATTTTAAGCAATTACAAAATCTGTTTGCAAGAACTGAGTATCTCATTCTCTTCCTCTTCGACACAACAGGTATCCGTGCGATGTAGTATGACACGAATACTTATGTCAGAGTATTAACCTTTTCTGAGCGTCAATTTTGGCTTGATTATGAAAGCTTTGATACGAATGGGCTTGATCTAGTATGACAACTAATCGGCAATCTGGAATATATTACAACGGCAGAAGGTTCAGAATTGAATCAAAATATTTTTTCGCAATTGTATCAACATATAAAATTTTGTCCATCTTTCACCAATGAATCTAAATTTTATAAATATAGAATTATACCTGGCAAATTTAAAGGCGCTAAATATTTAGGTGAAAAATCAGCTAAACAGCGCTCATAGGCGTAGTATATAAAAGCAGAACTTTGCAACAGGATTCGTTGCCATTCACCCAAGCTAGGAGCATGGTCATTGCCCATTAAACCATACCATCGATTTGTCACTGCTGGTCTACTTTTCAAGATTGAGGTCATAACTTGGGATGGAGAAAACTCGCCTAATATATTAATAGTAAAATATGAGTAACACAGTAATTTAAAGATGGATACTCAATTACATGATCATCTTGGGTTTAGATAAAATAACTGATCATAGTTGTATTTTGACTCTTACCCATATCAGATCCAAAGTTTTTAGTATCGACAACATCTTCAACTTGCGTTAAGGGCAAATATATTTATATATTTCACAGAACAATTTCAAAGGGTAAATATAGTTTTAACGTATACTTCATTTTAACTAGTTATCGCTCTAACTAAGCTATTAGCTATCGCTATCAAAAAATTGGATGTTTTTGGATACATCGAACGTAAGATGAGTTGATATTAAGCCCATTAGCGGGAGGAGCTCTTTCTGTTAAATTCTATAACAAAACCATAGGTACAAGTTACGACCAATGGTATAGATTATCTAGTTACGTTGAAATGTATAAGCAATTATTACCTGCTGCTTTCCTTTTTTGTCACTTCTTTTGCTCGTGGTTGTCGGTTTTATTTGATCACTTACTTTCGGTTTTCGCTTTTCTCGTTTTTCCCTCCCTTCATCTAAATAAGAAGAAATGATTAATGTTAAGATCAATATACTGTATATGAGCACAAGTAGTTTACCTTCATTAAAGATTACGTCACTTGCTGATAAAGTAAACTAAATAATTCTATAGCAATCTATTTCTACAGTTAGTTAACCAACTATTATGAACCTACCGTCAATCAAGCGATGACGAAGTATCTGTAAGGAGAAATCTCGAGAAATAGACGAGACACTAGCCGAGCGAAAGAAGGAAGTCGCTTCCAAAGGTAACCGAAGTAGCTCTTTATCAGCTAATATAACAAGAAAATCACCCGTTGTGTGGCTTGAGCCAGGTGGACCACTCATATTTGAAGTACCAGTGCGGCCAGTGCCAGGTCTATGAATGGAGTAAAAAAATTTAAGGCCTGAAATTTAATTTGATAAAAAAAAAATACGAAATGCATAGAAAGGTATCTGTATCTAGGCTAAAATGATTTATTACGATTTCTAACCTTCCAATAAAGTCAAATTTGTCCAAAATAGGGCTTAAATATTCATCAAGATCAGTAATTAAATCATTAAAATTTGCCTGAAATCATAGAAGATGCTACTTTTAAATTAAAATGGTTTAACCAAGTTACGTTTAAGAATATCAGTACTAACTACCGAAAGTACATAGGTCATTCCGCTATTTATTTGCATTTAATACGATCCAAAAGATGAGTGGGTAATACCTGCAATGATTCTTCTTCCGCTGTAAATTTTTGTTGCTCTTTAGCTTCCTGTGTATAGATAAATTAACAATTTAGCAACGATGTTCATGCAGTAAGACAACTAGTAATTACGCTATATATACTGTAATCAATTATAAAGTTAAGAAATTTATTATCCTACTTTAATGTCACTTTCCCCATCAAATGAAGATATTAATTTCTCTTGTTGTTGTTGTATATGTTCTAAACGATTCCACCTAACCAAGGCCGCTGAAAGATCTTTTTTATATTGATCGAATTTTTCCAATAAGTTATCTAATTGTATTGGAGAAACATCAGCTCTGGCTACTGACGCATTAATAGGTAGGTCTATAAAGAAAATAAGTCAATAATTTAGCGCAGGAAAGAATTTTTAACTACCAATAACCTCGCCTTTGATTGATTACAAACAATATTTTAACAACTGCTAAATTTTGATCTTTGCAGTTAATTGTATATTTAAATGGATGTAGAGTTACTTTGGCTGGATAATTTGGTTGCTTTAATAGTTGCAGTCTTTGATTTTTCCAGCATAGCTCCATATAAAACCGATCTATTAAATCCAAAAGAAAATCTAAATATTACCATTTTTCGAAAATATAAGATACGAATATACTGTAATAGGCTCTCAAAGTTCTAATAAGAATTCAGTAAAATATGAATCAGCCCATATAGTAGTCCTGTAATGACTGAAAATGGCTCTAATTCTAAAAGATATTATTAATACGGTACTAACTTATCCGGTGAATGCTGCAGTATTATGCAAGAGATACCCGCCGGGAGATCTTTCATTAAATCTAAATGATTTGGGCTAATAGATATGAATTTCCATGCCTACAATTTAAGCAGTAATATAATTAACCTTTAATTATTGGATCCATTTAAGTATATAATACTTTTAAAATTAAATTGTTAAATCAGTATAGATGATTAGTTGAAATAATTAATACAAGCTTAAAACTTTTTCCATTATATTATAAAAATAAGTTACGGTAATTTGTGTATAAATTATAATAGAATTAATACCATACCTCACTAGTTACTTCCAGTAGATCCAAATTACTCTGTAATGTAGTAGATATGGCTTCGTTGATATCACATGATGCAATTTTAATATGTCGTCGTTGTTGTAGTAAGGCTGCTTGGCGAGATGCTGTTGGATCTCGCTGAGCTCCCATTAATGTTTCGTATAAAAATTGACTAGCTGCACAGCTCTACGTCAATAGTAAGCTTAATGTTACAATGGCGAAATCAAGCTAATTTTAAGCATTATATATCTCTGAGTTAATAATTTTAGATATATTGCTATTTAATAGGACAAAATATACTCCTTATACTGCTAGATTCATTATAACTACGCATAAAGCTACCTGATGCAAAGCTAAATATTGGGCTGTTGTCAAGGGATCATATCTACCACAGCATTCCACCATTTCAAGCGCTGCCAACGATAATATATCCTAAGAGAGCGTATTAATTAACATTGTTCCATTAGATTTGAAAACTTGGAATTAAATTATTTGTGAAGAATTTGCAAAAATCGCCGTAATTTATGCCAAAAATGCATTCAACGATATTGTTTAAGTATAGCAGAACAACTAACTAATTTTCTGTACTTACATGATGACGATGTGACAGACAGAGATGCACACACTGAGATACGCAATCATTCGCTTGCGCTAGGTAATTTTGACTTAAACCATAATTAAACTACAGAAGCAAAGATATAAAATAGATCAAGATACCATAAATTAGCAAAATATTTCTTCAATCCAAGTAAAATCTAACACAGTTGACATAGGGCTGAGTAATCATATTGGAAGATTACTAGCGAGGCGTACTTACATATACGAGAGAATGCTTAGTAAACTCAATATAAAGTCATTATTTAAAACAGCAAGGCTAATTTATATTGCTAACACAAACCAAACTTAATATCTCTATCATACTTCGCTGGTTAATACGATCAAAATATAGTACAAATACAGGAAATTTGAAAAGTAGTAATTACTATGCAGAACTGTTCAATTATAGGGCTATGGAACAAAAAGCTATTTTTAAGTGTAAAACCAATAAAAATTTCTTTATTACCAGATATCGAATTGCACGATATTTTCTATTGCCGAATTCCAACTCGAGTTCACTTTTATCATCTCTTGCCTCATCTTGATCAGAAATGCTACCGTCGGATAATTCGTATAAATCTTTGTCATTCTTTTGGTCAGGCACCTCATTATTTAGTAAGTTTTTCTGATTATTCTGAGTCAGAAAGATTACCGAGATAGCAATTAAATTTCGATAGAAAGTCACTTTAATTAAATGTCCTGATCTGCTATTTACGCAGATTTCTATCTATATTAAAATCTAATCTAGCATCGTGCCCTTTTTTTAATAGCTGCATATCCATATCAGTTTCAAATAATCAATGGTACTTAAGTAGTATACAATTAATATGTTTATAAACAAAGTTGATGTGGCATACATTAATTAAAGATGATCAAATAATGCAATAGATGTATTAATGGCACTAATTAATAGGTGCTTGCTTCTTGAAATATATATAAAGCAGTTATTCTCTATCAGACCTAATTTGCTTGTAGACGATCGATTAATTTACTTGTATTAGAAATTATTAGTTAATATCACTATTCATTATCACTATATTAGCCGACTTTGTAGACCGACAAGGCAACGTAAGTATACAGTATAATAGCATATTTGGCGCAGTTTTTACACCAATTATTGAAGCAATAAACAACTTGATTGACTATTGTACTATAAAGGTAATATTACGGAGAAAATTGCTCGGCTAAGCTGTATTTTACCGTTAAAAGTAAATCGTTCCATGGTAAAACTTCACTGGGATTAGCTTGGAAAGCTTTTAATCTTAAACTCTTACCAGCTGCATACAACACCTAACAAGAAACGATCATTAAAAATGTAGTACTAATGGGAAAACAATACAGATCAATTACAGTAGTACCTCAGCTTTTAGCTTGATAGATGATCCAGCTAAATGATGAGCTATCGATAAATGTGTTAGTGCTTTTCCTGTGAATGTACTAATAGAAAAATATATAGACAAGTATTGCTTTTAGTCGTAATTCATTATGAAAACTGGCAAATAGTCGTTTGATATAGATTTATTAATCCAACAGTAATTCAAGCTAGCTAATGGAAAAATGGCATTAAAATTTCGAGTTCATAAAAGGAAAAGCATTTTTACTTTATTGCTGTTTTCCAAATGGTATCAATGGAATTAGGAATAGGCGTTGGTCTGACATATTCATCGAATACCTACCAAGATTGATTAATCTTTACTGTGAATTATTAGATACATTTATGTGTAATAAAGTATAAAGCTTTACCCGCTGTACACTATCTTTCCTTGCATCAAGCTTCCGCTTTTGCTGGTCTTCTGCATCAGCTGTAATCATGATTACAATAACATGATTGGCAAACGCTAACCGAGCTTGAATACTCTCTCTTTGAACCGGCAGATTAGCTTCTCTTGGCTTTAATACAGGCTTTAACGTTGTACTATCAACATAGACATCATTTGATAACTGTACTGCTTCTTCGTAAGATTGCAAGGCCTAAAGATATAGAACCATAAAATATCATAGATATTGTCATTTCTTTATTGAGGTATAGAAACTCTATCAACAACTACTATAATGAAAACATTAAGGTTACCTCAAGTAGGTACTGATGTTGATCATCTGTTGTTGACGCTACATTTGCTAACAAGCTGCCATGATGATTAAAAAAAGATGGGTTTAACGGATTTTAAATTCAAAGATAAGAGAGTAAGAAATCATGAAATGCAATAAAAGAGTCAAAAATCTAGCCTACTTTTTCAATTTTCCTTGCTCAATTAACACTTTCGATGCTTCTCTTTTAAAACCTTCATTTTTCAAATCTTCGATAGATGTATTGTAATGCTAAGCAAAACAAGATAAAAAATAAACACATAATACGCCTATAACTTTTAATAGACTATTACAGCTTGTTTTCAAATGATTTATTTTGTGTCCTTGTTCTAAGTTAGTGTAGCCTTTAATTATCAAGGTGGCGAAATAATACCTCTAAAGCGGTTATTAATGTTGCATGTAATTGACTATAATTTTCCATTTCCTTCGATTCTTCCATTTCTAGTGCTGCCAATCTAAAATCAATAGATCAGAAGCGAGAAAACAGATTTATACTTTTAGCTATTTAGATTTAGATTCTAACTCTTAGAAGTTGAAAGACCTTTCCTATTAAAATAAACAAATACTATTTATGTTCCAATATGTATTTATATAAAATCTCGATTTAAATTACTCTATCTAAATGCTATAACATTTCATAAAAATCTTAGCCAATTTCTAATAACCGTCTAATCTATTGAGTAAAGTCCTAAGTGAACTATATATTCTAACCCTGAGCAATGTTACCTAGCTGTTAGCAGTGCTTTGACATATGTAATATAGTTAACTTCATTCTTCCGCTCTTCTGCTAGTTCGACTAGACAACCAATAGAATGAAGTAGTACAGTCTTTGCCTATTTTGACGTATAACGGATGAAAAGAAAGACATAAGTGAAATTTAGAATATTTTTATTTCATTGATATTCAATCATTACTAGACTCCATAATTACGCATAAAATAACTGTAATGAATGTTATACTTTGTTTCGCTTTATAAAGAAAATTAAGTAGTTTCAATGGGTTAAATTACCTGAGACTTTCGATAACTATCTTGTAACAACACATCAACTAGACATAAAATTGTTTTTAGCCACATTCCTTTATCAACGGCATTCTTTTGAGCATCAATTAGTTTAGCTAAAGCATGCGGTATATTAGCTTCTCGATACAATATCACAGCGAGATTGTAATAAATTCTCGTCATTAGTTCCTTGTCATCGAAGACCTAGTAATAAAATTAATAAATTCTATCAGTTATTCTGCAATACGAAGAAAAAGGTAAGCTATCAAATAATCTGTAGATTTTCATAAATAATATCAATTAAAACGATTGCAAATGTATATATATATATATATATGCACAGAATTCTAAATAAGTGCATTTCAGCCAGCTCTTAGAATAGATAAATATTTATTACCTCAGCTGAAAACTGTGCCTCAGTTAAATATTGTCGAGCGGACTGATAACGTCCCTAAATATTATGGAGAAAGAATTAATAAATAGGTCTCTTAGGATAGAAAACTATATCAATAAATTAAGTAATTTTTACCTGCTTAATTAATAATTCCGCTGTATCTGTCCATAAATGGCGTAATGATACATTGCCAATAACAATCTTTAACGATTTGATTGCAACGGTACTATTAAACTCGAAATTTCTTATATCAATTGAATTTTTAACAGATTTAATCGTAGTTTCTGGCTTGTCGTCGTAATCGTCTTCAAATCGAACAGTTGCTTTCTTTTTAGCTGCAATCTTTTCGCCTTCGAGTTCGACACGATTTTGTATTTCTTGCCACTCGTGAATCTCTTCTCTCGATCTATCATTTCATGGAAATCAAGCCAAGTTAATATCTTTTATTTAAAATATAGCTCCATTTTACTTCACTACACTAGTATTTATATATATATATATATCATGAGCTTTCCATTACTAATCGTATAATCGTGTGATCACAAAGATGAAATAAGTCGCAGGAAAGCAATATTCAATTAAAAACAGCGTAGAGAATTACAGAATAAGTAATGAATAATGCCCAATTTCGAATAATATAATGAACATTTATCTTTGTTAAATTGATATACAAAAAAATTGGCTACTATTCCGCTACAGTTCAGTTAAACTGCTAAAATAAGCTGGCATACTTTGCTTGTTCGCTCTCGTCTATAACGACATCACCGGCAATTTGTTCATGATGTTTAACACCCGATACCAAATTTAAATCTTGATATAGTTGAATGGATAGTAGACGGCTATAACTGATCAAAGTTTTATGTTCAATCACATCCTGAGCGAGCAAAGTCATCATAGACACCAACGGTGGGCATAATTGATGATAACCAGATTGTTGACATAATTCCAAAAAATCTTTCATTATTTGAAATGTTAACATCTATTTTATAAGGAAGCAAAAGTCATTAGTGCTGTATCTATATTCAAAACTAAAAATTTTTAATCAGTAAGTAGAGAAAATAACAAGTTAGTTAATTCATGCACCTACCGGCTTATTAATTGAGATTTTGTTGAAACCACAACCAGTAGTATCGTTCTTTATAGCATTACGAAACTAGAATCCAATCAATAGCAAATGCATATAGACATAAGAGCTACTTTTACATACTATATCTTAATAATCGAACTATATTGATATTATGCAGGAAATAAGCATTAATATTTATACGTTATTATATGCTTGTCATAGATTACATTCTTAAATAAGATATGGCGATGTACAGTAGTATATTTAGAAACTCACGACTGTACAGTGTTTTACATTTCTTGAAGATTATATCTCATTAGAACGAAATAGTTTGCATTTTATTCCTGCAAATTTTTAAATACAAAAAGTAACGATTTTTATAATGAAAATTCACTAACATCATCCGGCAATTCGTAAGTGCTCCAAGCATCAATGGTGGTAGGCAGAGCCGCTGAAGGATGTATGGTGTTACTTTTTCGTTTCGGTAGTTTCAAGACCTGTAGCTGTCGGGATAGATTTTAAAAATTTGTGTTAATTAACTTATGAATGTATAAATATGGCAGCGTGGTAATCACGCCATCAAGAAATTGAAATAATTAGCCTAAATTATTTTTAAGCGTGCGCATCTACTTATAATTTAGTTCTAATATTTCTTATCCTATCGAGCTACAATCCACTTATATCAGATTTTACTTTTAACCTCTTTTGTTGAATCTTTGTTAGCATTTTTATCTTTTGCTTTCTTTGCTTCAGCTTGTCGTTCTTGAATTAATGCTAGTTCATGCAATGTTTTACTAGCAGTTATTTGATTTAACTGCAGATGCGATAATTATAATAAATATTTCAATTAGTCGAAATTTTTAAATCATGATTATCATTACGATACAAATATAATTATTACTAAACTTTAGACTATGATATAGGGAAACTGATATTTGGATTTATTTGGTTATTTTATCATTGCTATAGTAATAATTAAAAATTTATAAAGCCTAGTATATATTTTGAGCATTAACGTCAGCGATATGAATATTATTAGCGCTTTAGCAAAAATACTAATAAGTCGAAGTCAGGGATATTTTACACCGAACTCTAATATATTATTAACTTTTCAATCTGAATGATGGATATTTAAATGAATGCTTCCGTTATTGCTACTACAGTATTTAACAGAAACTATAGCTAGAAGTAGCTATTTAAAGCAGAAGCTCAATGTTAAACAAGCGTATTACCCTCCAAATCCTCATTAAGTAAGTCCAAGCAAAATGAATATATTTGCGATATTTAGGCGATGAGCGGTTGCAGGTTAACGCCATTATAACATGAATGCGTAATAAGGCTTCTAACTGTTTAACTTGTAGGATATCTTTAGCCGTAATAGGAATTTCACTTGGAATGATACCAATAGTTTCTTCACTTTTTATTGGAATATAGTCGGCAGGATTAATACCAAATAGTTCGTCGTCATCATCATCATCATCATCATCATCATCTTCATCATCTTCAGTATTAATACCATTTTCCAATTTGGCCATGCCAATTTTTCTTTTCTGTTGCTTAGCATCCGCTAAATTACATAAATATATCATTAAGCTTTCAGCAGTCTTTAAATATACGTATTTGGTGCGTTAGATAAAATAAATAATTCGACAGGATCATGCTGTATTACCAAGTTTCAATTGACATACCGATTTGAAGGCGCTCCGATCGTGCCATTGATAAAATAATATCTGCCGCCCATTCAAACTGTTTAAAAAAATTACGGGTATGCCATATTCGTTAAAACAAATATGATAGAACTGATTAGAGAATATTATCTCTGTAATATTAATAGATATGGTTACAGACTACTTGTCAGAGGCTAACATAAGTCATCTTGAAAACTACCTGATCAATAGCATCTTGTAACGGGAATAAATGACGATGCAGCCAACAACCAAATTCAAGTAAGTAATCAAACTTTTGCCACTGACTTTCTGAATTCTATTATAAATTAAAATAAAATTTTTCCAAACGTTTAATATCTAGTACGAGCCAAATTTGATTAATATCAATCAATACAGGATACAGTTTAGAGACTGCTATTGGATAGCGAGTTAAAAATAAATAATTTAAAGCTTACTTTAAGAACTTCAATTGAATTCTGATAGGATGATAACTGTTCCAGGCGGTCATCAGAACATTCGGCTACGTATCGCCACATTTCTGCAACCACCCTTTCATTTTCATCCTGCAGAAACAAAATATTATATATAATTGAAGAAATTTATTAAAGTTATGCCATTAAATGGTAATACAGTCCATAACAGTGTTCATTCCAGCATATTAATCGGTTTTTACAGATTATCGAAACATAAGAAAGTTATATTACACAATTAAAGTACAATTCTGGACTATTCGAGAACAGGATTGCACTTGCATTAGACTCTACTAATTACTTACCCTGAATTTAGCAATATCAGGCAAGACATTTTTACCCAATTTAGCTTTGAATATGACACGATGTTTAAATATTAACCTAAATAGTAAAATAAATTTGCTATCATTACTAGATATTCTCCAAAATTATGATATCAATTTTTCCACTTACAATCGATGATGTGTTCGAGGCATGTGGCTAATTGCTTTATCCATGGCTTGGAGACCTTCCTTGTATTGATCCTATTATAACAAACCATAAATAGCAAGTTTTATTATGGGATCTAGTTTCGCTAAATATTTATTAGGCAAAAGTTAAATAAAAAAAATGCATCAGTCCGATAGAATATACCTTGTCAGCGTAGCCTAAGAATAAAACACCATACATAGCAGCCCGTATAGTTAAATCATCGATATATTCTTCAGCGGTTTGGTTGGAATCTTGTAAACTTTGCTTGAGTTTTGGATCCCCTTGATCAAACGTTAATTTTGATTTTACTTCATCTGCCTACAAGATGATTTAAATTCAAACCCCAAAAATGTTTAAAGATTATTTTTATATTTCTATAACACTACCATAATTACCTTCCATTTTAAAAAATGTTTCATAAAAAAAATACTATAATACCATAGAAATTCGCTATGATGTTAGTATATATTATAAAAAATTTTCCATACCTTTGATTTATTATGAATTCGATATAAGTCAGATATACTTTCAAGTAGAAACGTTAACGGCTCAATGAGTAGTTTCCGCTCTAATGGCGGTTTGACAAGAGGTAAGCAGGTATTCCAATAATGACGTATCGCAGACATTGCTAAAGTATAACTTCTAGCTTCTATGGCACATCTAGAAAAACGGTTGCAAGTAGTAAAAATGTATTCTATACCTTAATTCTTTGTGAAAGTTTCAAGAAAAATATTTCGATATTATATATCATTGCTTTCATGAATAAGCAGATTTTACAATAACTACCTGACACTATCAACAAATGCTTGCATGGCTAATCGGCGCTGTTCAATTCTACCACCCATGGTCTCAACATAAGCCTGACCGAGAAGAGAATTCAGCAAGCTCAACATTTCATGGGCATAGACGTAACTAAACTGGCTGCCATTCACCATGATGCCATTATTGATTCATAAACAGATATAAGAAACATTTAATATCAGAATTACTGTTCTGTCACTAAATAGGATAGTAGCCTAGTCTTGCATATAGGTCAAAAATGAAATACTGATATTTATGCAGGAATTAGATACTATTAATGCATGTAAAAAATTGCTATCGATATTTATGTTATTACCATTCTTGTATCTTTTGACTCTTTAATGATGTTATCTCAGTACGTGTTCCAAATTTCAGACCTTTCTCAGAGCAACTAATGACATTATTGAAATTTTTAACTTGTAACGAGACAAGTGCTAACTTTGACCACAAATATAATTCTACGATGCAATCATTCCATGATATATTAGCTGATTCTACCCATTTAATGGCCTATTAAAATTAATTTCAAGAAATGTTATTCAATTGGTATTAAATTTTGACTTCATTAATGCTGTTAAACATTTTTACTTGATGTAATCGTTGAATTTTAATTATTTTATAATAATCTATCAGTCGGATGGAGTATCTCTTTAAAGCGAATAATTTAAAGTAAATTTAATCTATTTTGGTGCATTCTACATATATTATAATGGGTCATTACTTTAGAAATCTTACATCATTTAACGTTGGACAATTCACAAATTCTCCAAGTCCATTACGACTTGATGAAATCATTTCAACAGCGGTGATTGCCTTTGATGCAGATAGTACCGGAGTTTTATTTTCATCATGTTCATGGGATAAGTTGCGTGGAATGTTTATATTTAATAATTGGCGTAAATAAACCCATAAAGTTAACATTTTATGTCGTAACGATAAAGGTATCTTATTGTTGTCATTCGACCCATTCGTTAATGTTAATGCATTTTCAATGATGTCCATTGCTTGTTTTAATTCAGGTGTTGCATCCGGATCAATGTTAATTATTCTAGGTACTTTCATACCTGCTGTAACTATGCTATTATCAGAGCCAGTCATACTAGATTGTACAGTACGATTACTAATAGCAGTATTCGAATGAGCGATTCCAGCAGTAGTATTGCCTCCACCTCCACCTCCACCTTTACCTTTTTCTACCTCTAAAGGTAAAACGATACGAGTAGGTAATTCGGGCAGCCATGGTTGAATAATTCCTTTAGCGAGAACATAGCTTATTTCGCTGTATAAGACAGATTCCCTACGAATACAATTTTCAAGGATTAAATGAACTGCTAAAATTGATAACTCGATATAAGCAATGGCAAACAGAATGATATTTTATGCGATATAATGCTGCATGTCTCAAGATCTAATAGTCACATATAAGATATATATCGATTATTCGTCACTAAATAGTCGTACCCGTTGATTCCAATAGTCTTCATTGCAGTTAAGACTGGCTGAAAAACTGGTACGAATTCTCGGAAAGAGGCCTGATCAAATTTATGTTTGCAATAGTTCCATAAATAAGCTGCTGCGCTATAAACTAGCCATGATTCACTTAATTCGCAACCAAGTTGTAATGCACGCTTAAAGTCGTTAATCGCTGTTTGCCACAATGATTTCACCCAATCACTAGTCAAAAATAAGTTAATAGATGTTAAGAGCAATATAATAATGTGCTAAAGATTAAAGCCCCTCATGCATAGCAACACTTTTCATAATATCATATCTTGTAATATGATGCATACCAATAAGTCTTCCAGTCTGGATCGTCCAGGGTATTTGTCACTTGATTTTTTTGTTTTAGTTTGGGATCCTGAGGAGGTGAAGGGCTATCTCCTAATAAAGTACCTTCATCTCTAGACTTACAAAGATATGCCTGGACGGTAAGGTGTATTACATCAATCAGTATGCTGATAATTTATTAGCTTTTAATTAATTTTACCAATCAAATTTCAAATTAGGTCGGAGATTAATTACATAATAATTCTATAGCTGACCTCTCCATGGATGCAATATACTTCAGCAAGTATCCTCATTAATTCAGTATTGTTATGAGCCGTGATTTCTTCATTCGTGGCAACTAAATTTTGGACTTTTGGTAATGTTGTTTCTAATGAGCTATCATTAGCTCTGATAATATTCCAACGACCATCATCATATAACAGACAGAATGTAGAAGCGACCCGAGCGACATCCCATACTTCTTGCTTACGTGCCAACTTTGCTAAATCGCTCCAAAGGCGTACCCTAAGTGAGAAGTAGAGTTATAAATAATCCCTTTAATAATTTGATTCTTTAATGCTTATTTTTGCCTTTTTTCTTAGTTTTACTAATTAATTATGGAGGAGATTTTTTAATTCAATTATAATACTATGCTTTCAGACAGAGCACAGCCGATTATGCAGTCATACTATTCATGGTATGGTAGTATGCGCCGTAAATTGCA